AGTAAAGTGGTCACGTGATACAGGTGGAGACACGTGACCAGTATACGGCTCTGCCATTGGTGATAGTTCTGGTCACTTGATTTAAGTTTAAGATTTTCTAAATTTTACATATATGAACTTTCGTATACTTTTAACACAGTGTTATATCAATTTCTCGAGACAGGAACACCATTGTCAACCATTAACATTAAGCCCCCCCCCATCCATGTAATGTCGTCTTCAACCTAAAAGCACCTCTCGGAGACGAGAAACCAAACCAAACAATTTCAGCCCGCTTCTCTTTGTTCTCCGACAACGGAATATAAACACTTTTATTAATTGTGAACCACTTCAAATATTAAACAAAGAATTAGTGACTTTCGTTAACATTTAATTGTCATTCTTTTCAGAAGTTTAATGTATAAAAAAAACGTCTTAGGACTCCCCGACGGTTTTAACCTCTCATCCCCAATTAGATCGTAAGAATCTTTTCATTGTAAAATTATAAAACTTTGTAACAAACTCGTGCATTATTATCAATTTTATTTTTTTAGGAAATAAAGAGTTTTCTGCATTATCGATTTTGATTTGAGGGTTATTCCGTTGTCTATCTGTTCATCGTCAGAATCTTGTTCCTATCCGACAACAAATATATGGTCAGAACTACTACTCACCCACTATAGGCATAATATCCATCTCCGCTTGTACAGCCTGCTTCAGTATTCCTTTCAAAAAGTTTCCTCTAAATTAAAATTAATTGATAACAAATTTAATGGTAATATGTTTTAATGTTATGACGGTATATCACTTCCCATAAAAACTTTTATTACTTCCCATAAAAATTTCAATTAAAGTACAGATAAATGTTAGGAGCCCTTCCTGATAACTATCTACAAACATCTACCTACCCTTAAACCTACAAATCTTACAATCTAACAACATATAACAACCTAGCAAACTTCCAACCTAGACAACCTAGCAGCCTAGCAACCTTCCAACCTAGACAACCTAGCAGCCTAGCAACCTAGCAAATAGGAAGCTACCAACCTATTACCCTAGCAACCTAGCAAACTTCCAACCAAGACAACCTAGCAACCTAGCAACCTAGCAACAAAGTAAGCTACCAACCAAGCAAACTAGTAACCAGCTAGCAGCCTACCAAAAAAGCAACATAGCAAACTAGCAACCTATAACATCCTACCAGCCTAGCAACTTACCAAACTTCCAACCTAGAAACCTAGCAACCTAGCCACCTAACAACCTAGCAATCTACAAGCCTAACAACCTACCAACTTACCAACCTACCAACCTATATACCAACCTTTAAACCTACCAAACTACCAACCTACCAACCTACCAACCTACCAACCTACCAACCTACCAACCTACCAACCTACCAACCTACCAACCTACCAGCCTACCAACCTACCAACCTACCAACCTTCCAACCTCCCAACCTACAAACCTACCAACCTCCCAACCAACCAGCCTACCAACCTTCCAACCTCCCAACCTACCAACCTACCAACCTCCCAACCTACCAACCTACCAACCTACCTAGATATCTCAAGGTTCTGTAGATTATTGAGTATTGTAGGTAAAGAAGTATAATAGTATTCCTTTTGTTGTTCGTTAGCTCTAGACAACAAATGTAATTTTTTCAATTTTTTTAACTGTAAAAACCATCATCGCAACAATTTTTTATCGAATTTGCTCAAGGCCAAATTTAATATTTTAGTGATAGAAATGGTTTATATGAGAATAAGATTAAGATAATGAAAAAAAAAGCGAAAGAAAAATGTTATGTAAAAAATATGAAGAGTACTTCATCATTATAAATAAGAATTGTATTAAAAAAGTATTTATTTTCCTGATTAGTTCTCTGGCGTAGTCTCCCTTTAACTGCTCACATTGTCGTTGTCTTGAGGTGGAAGTCTTCTTTAACTTTTCAATCTAAATTGTAAACAGGAATTAGTAAACAGAAATTAGTAAACGGAAATTAGTAAACAGAAATTAATAAACAGGAATTAGTGAACATAAATTAATAAACAGGATTTAGTAAACAGGAATTATTAAACAGGAATTAGTAAATAGGAATTAGTAAACAGGAATAAAAAAACAGGAATTAGTAAACAGGAGTTAGTAAATAGGAATTAGTAAACAGGAATTAATATACAGGAATTAGTAAACAGGAATTAATAAACAGGAATTAGTAAACAGGAATTAATAAACAGGAATTAATAACCATGAATTAGTAAATAGGAATTAGTAAATAGGAATTAGTAAACAGGAATTAGTAAACAGGAATTAGTAAACAGGAATTAAAAAACGGGAAGAAGTAATCCATAATAATAAGGAAAAATCTAGCATACAATTATACACATACTACATTTTCTATTTTTACTTTGCCCACTATAAACATGAAAATGTAAAAACGACCACGTTTTATATTTATGTGCATTGAAAATATGCACTAGCAGTTTTTATTATGTCCAACTTGTCATATTAAAGGGACTGTAGACGTAATTTCAAGTGACTCACTATTTTCTAAAGTTTGTCCGATTTTTCAAAGTTATCCTTTAGACCTAGGTCGGATAAAATAACCGATTAACCTAACCCTTTTTTGTCTTCAAAATTTATTATTTTGAAATTGCGGTTCTTTACATAACTAATTTATTCCTTGTACCTGGTTCCTTGATATATCTGTGCTGCTCTCTGCTTTACTATACTCCTGCTCAGACTGCTCCCAGTCAAAGAAGCAGCGTTGATATTTCAGCTTCGCTTTCTCCAATCCTTTATCTAAAAAATTACGATTATACAAAGAGAAAACCTTAAGATAATGCTTTGATCATACTGCAGACATGCAAATTAATAATTAGCTAGCCCTCATCTAAACAGACCATTAGCAATAGTTGATTTCAGAGGAAAAATTACTACAATTACATGAATTATATTGCAATGCAGCAGTGTAATTGTTTGTTTATCTACATACAGTGATAACCAGAATACAATAAGATATGAAGACGACATTTCAAAAATAAATATTTGATCCTGTTACAAAGCAAATAGTTTTACTGGACACTTATTTGGTCGCTAATTTAGTTAAATGAGTCTGTTTACACTGCACAATTGCTATGTCTCGTGCTCATTGGGCTTTTTAAAGTTATAACTTGATTCTTAAAGTCGTCTTCCTATTACAGAGTTTTCTGGTTATCAATGTACGAAAACTACAAAAATGATTAATTTGCGTATAAAAAAATAAATTTTGTAAAATATAATAAATTAATTTGTAGTAGTTCTGTGTATACAGTGTTAACTATGGATATAGATAATTAGAAATCATGTTAATTTTTCATTTACCAAACTTTTCTTTCTCCTCGCCGAGTTTTTTCGCTTCTTTCTGACATTTTTTGGTAACCTCGTTAAACTCTTTTATCTGAATAAATAATTATAAATTAATTAATTATATGTTTAATTATGCTCGCAGTATGGTCGTCATTATCTTCATCATCGTTTACAACTTTATTATTGGCAATAAACATTTCAGTCTTAAACCAATAAAAACTTTTCAAGCAAGTAATTAGATAATAGATATGCATAATTACATTTGACAATTTTCTATAATGCTTGCGTTTATCTATCTATCATAGGATTTCAATGAGTGAGTAAAGGTATTTATCAGGTTGTGTGTGACACTTGAAAGTTTTTGCTGTGACTTAAGCCAAGTACATGTGCTGGACTTGCAATCATTGGCCTTCTTCATCTTCTATCCTTCTAACTAACCCACAATAAGTTTAGTTTTAATTAAGCCAAGTACATGTGCTGGATTTGCAATCATTGGCCTTCTTCTTCTTCTATACTTCTAACTATCCCACAATAAGTTAAGTTTTAATAAAGTCTGTTGGAAAACTCTAAATATTCTAATTTTCTAATCCTTATATTTTTGCAACGCAATAGTTGATATTTCAAACTTTGATTATTTAACTGAGGAGAATTTATAAAATCAAAACTAAATTGTTAGAAAATAGAAGTTTGGTTCGAGAAATTAGGTTTTTGAGATTATGAATATTGTCTGTCTCTGTCCGTTTGTTAGTTTTCATTATATGTTACCTTCTTGTGTATATCATTGTTTAAGGTTTTAGATAAACTTTCAGCCAGGATCTCATGCTGGTTTGAGATATACTTTGTTTCTTGGATTAATAATCTAAAAATATATAGATGTTAATCAATTAAATCGTTCATTTATCATTTTTATTGATTAGACATAAACCATTTTGACAATTCAAATTGATTTTTGATCAATTATGAATTATAATATTTTTTTTGAATTTATTGAATTTCTTTTTCTATTTATTTATTTTATTCAAATTTAAATTAGAAAAAAAAATTTTCTCTTTTTTTTTCTTTTTTTTCATCCAATGTATGCAAGAAGAATTTGACTATGACTTGGTGAAATTGAGGTCTAGATAAATGTGAAATATTCATTTTAAGTTTCACGAATTAGGATTTTCGTGATTTCAAGATTCTTTATCTTTTTCAAATTTTATAATATTTTCTACGCATCATTTCAGTGTTGATAACAAGGACTGAGTTAGAAGATTGTATACATTCCCCCCAGAAAGAAATTGAGTCTTTGACACAATCCCTATATCTTTGCAACCTGATGGTGTAAACATAAACTTTCTGTACATAAACTATTTTCTCTCGCCTGAATGCTTTGTTTTGGGAAGTTTCTTCTTCATTAGTTTGTTCTTTCTTCTCCTTGGGTGTATAGTTGGTCACAAGTTTACGTAAACTTTTAGCATATTCTTTCTCAAGGTCTCCTCTTTCCTTGAGAAACCTGGAGAACTTGGAGTCCAGATCGTTGATCTCCTACAATCAACCCAAACCAATAAATACAGGATTGTTGTATTCTGCTAGTTATATAGGGTTACCCACAAAGGTTGAGAATTCATGGAAAATTCAAAATGTATTCAATATGTTTCAGTACCATTGGTTTATCGTATTGTAGCTTTATTCATATTTCTTTTTCTTTGCCAATTCTTTTAGCAAAAAGGGTACATGTACATGTCAGACCAAAGACAAAATGTCATAATTAAAAAGTTTCAAGTCGTTTTAAAAGTTTAATATTTTGTGGGTTGCCCTGTACCTCTGGTTGTAAATAGTTACTTTAAACATTCATATTTATTTCTGAAAATCTGTAGAAAATTGAAAAAGGAACGTGAGTGTTCCTGAAGTACCGGGTCAGCCTGTACCTTGTTTCCAAAACTAAAATCTTCATCATTTAAAATATTTTCTTGGTTAGATTTCCTTTTTGTTGAATTCCAGAACCAGATCAAATCTATCCCAGAGTTCATTTCCCCAGTCCTTCATCCTCAAACTAGAAATAACATTATTATTTTATTATTACATATCATTCCTACTTTTATTTCATCATTTATGTAAAGTGTATAATTGATCATGGGAACTTGATTTATTCTTCACTGATGTATCTGTAATGAGAATTTGATATAAAACAGTCCTTAACGTTTCCCGAAAACTCTATGCCTATGCCTGGTGCCTGTGCTGCATGTTTGGGGTTTCTAATAAGGAAGTATTAAAGTACTCTCCCCCTCCAATACTGCTGCTCTCTCGTGTTAAAGTACTCCACCCTTCATATATTATATTCTTGCCCCTGGTTCAAAACTACTCCACCCTTCACATATACTCTTGCCCCCTCGTGTTAAACTACTCCACCCTTCATATATTATACTCTTGCCCCTGGTTTAAAAGTACTCCACCCTTCCTCTTGCCCTCTTAATTGTAATTAAGTACTCCACCCCTCCTATACTCGCCTCCCAGGTGATAAAGTACTCCACCCCTCCTATACTCGCCTCCCAGGTGATAAAGTACTCCACCCCTCCTATACTCACCTCCCAGGTGATAAAGTACTCCACCCCTCCTATACTCGCCTCTCTGGTGATAAAGTACTCCACCCCTCCTATACTTGCCTCTCTGGTGTTAAAGTACTCCACCCCTCCTAATCTCGCCTCTCTGGTGTTAAAGTACTCCACCCCTCCTATACTCGCCTCTCTGGTGTTAAAGTACTCCACCCCTCCTATACTCGCCTCTCTGGTGTTAAAGTACTCCACCCCTCCTATACTCGCCTCCCTGGTGTTAAAGTACTCCACCCCTTCTATACTCGCCTCCCTGGTGTTAAAGTACTCCACCCCTCCTATACTCGCCTCCATGTTGTTAAAGTACTCCACCCCTCCTATACTCGCCTCCCTGGTGTTAAAGATCAAACCTCGTCTTCCCTAAATTCCAAACCTTTTCCTTCCGTCCTCCTGTTTATTAAACAAAACCTATTAAAAGCTAATCCGAGGTAAAACCAAAATACTAAACATCCGGGGTTGGGATTACACCCCCCCCCCTCCAAACTTTACCCCCCCCGGCCTCCTTCTCTTTAAATCCTGGATAATGTACTTGATTATTAGAGAAGTTTTGGTCGGATGATTTCAAAATTTGTTATGGATTTATTAAATTCATTGGGACAGAAAGTTATCATTGATAGTTTGAAAATGTTAAATATTTTATATAAAAGTTGCAACATATATAACAGTTGACTGAATTAAATACTAAAACTGAATAGCTAAATTATTTCGGAAATCAAGTAGAGTGATAAAAACTAATTTACCAAGAATGTCAACCATGACCATGTCTAAAATAGAAATATTTCTTCGTTAAAAGAAAGAAAGATTGAGATTGAAAAATCAGTTAATGATGAGGTAAAAAGATAATTCATAATTGCTCGATGTAGCCATGTATGGAATTACATGTTAGTATTGGGACGAAAGCTTGACAATTAAGCTATACTTTTAAACTTCTTAATCATTTTAAGGATTTGAAGATGGAACACCAATAAAACGACTAAAAATACAATTTAAAGATTTTTTTCAGATAAGGAATATATAAAAGTGGACGGACCTAGATTTTGGCTTGAAATAATATTCAGGCATTTTGACGCTAAGCGGGTTGAGAGAGTTGAAACTAAACTGGGTATTTTCGCAAACATATTTGCAAAGTTGGAAGTTAAGGGGAGGGGAGGAGGGGTAAATTCATGAAATAGGTCAAACTAAATANGTGCTCTTGATTGCTTAGAGACAAGAAAAAGGCGGAGCTAGATTTATTTTGATACATGCATTCAAATTACACTTGAACTTAACAACTCAAAATACGATCAATGGCGGCGCGGCCCCATGAAAACGAGTACATTTATTTTCGCTAAAACATGGACTTTACCTGTCAGCCTATTATTATTATTATAATTTACAATAAAAAAAAATCGACAATATACTTTAAATATTGCTTTTATAGAAAGGGAAAATAGTAAAATTACAAGAAAATTTTACTAGGATACCCAACGTTTGATTGTTCACACTACCTTGTAGTTTTTTATCTGATGTTTAATTAAAACGTCACGGCTTGAAAATGACTGGTTCTAGTTCCAGTAGAATGCCAAAATATGAAGATCCTCTTCTAACCACAACATTGCTTCAGCGTTCTGAAACAGAATTAATTTTACAAATAAAAATAAAAAAGTAAAAATTTCTTTCATTAAACAGCTTGTACTTTATGCATGGCCATTGGCCAATCCGCTATTTTTTTTTTAAAGAAAAAATCAGAAACTTTTTCAAAATGATATTTATGATACTGAATTCATTGCCCAGTTCCTGCATGTATGCTTGCTATTGATGCTCAGCAAAGAAACAACACTAATGATCTTCTTAAAATTGTAGTTTTAATGATTTAATCTTTTAAACAACACAATGAAAATACAACAAATCCTCCCAAAATACGCACATCCCCCCCCCACATTCTCTCTCTAGCTTCCAAGGGCATGTTACTTTTATCGCAGCAAATAAAGCTGTGAATCTTAATTCTGCAGAAACTTGATAGAATTGAAACTAATTGAATAAATGAATAAAAATATCAAGCCAATTCGTATAAATTGTTTGAATTTTCAGATCAATAAAAAGCTGATGGATGAACAGATGATTGGATGGACAGCTTGAGGAAAGCTTGACGGATTCTAACGTCTAACCGAATCTGGTTATCTCTGTTTGGTTCTAACGTTTCTTAGTCATGTTTTATACTTCAAGATTGAGAGCAGACTTCAACCTGCAGCTACAGGGTCTATACTTCAATCAAATACAAAATTCAGAGAAGATTTTTTGCTGCAAAACAAGCACTGTGGAAAATGTTAAACACGCATCAAGAAAACGTAGCAAAACCTCGACATTTAACCTAGAACCGATTTTTTTTATTTCATTAAAAACCTTTGATATGTTGCAAACTAATTTTTGTAAGAAAGATACACAATTGTAATATTTGATTACTCTTAATGATGTTTAGTTCCTCTTGGAATGATAAGTTTGATTTCTCTTGAAATATGATGTTTGATTTATTTTTCAAATATTCCGTGTGAGTTTTTTTGGAATATGATATGTTAGATTTCTATTAGAATATGATGTTTGATTTCTTTTTAACGATTTGTTTGTTTCTTCCTAGAAAATAATGTTTGATTAAACTTATAAATTGTGATGTTTTATTTCTTATGGAATATTTTATTTTATTCCTCTTTGAGTGAAATGTTTGATTCCATTTGGAATGTAATGTTTAATTCATATTGGAAAAAAATGTTTGATTCAAATGTTTGATTAAACTTATAAATTGTGATGTTTTATTTCTTATGGAATATTTTATTTTATTCCTCTTTGAGTGAAATGTTTGATTCCATTTGGAATGTAATGTTTAATTCATATTGGAAAAAAATGTTTGATTCATATTGGAATAAAATGTTTAATTTAATTTGGAATGTGATGTTTGATTAATTTTATTAGGAATATGATGTTTGATTCCTTTAAGAATATGATGTTTGATTCCTATTGGAATGTAATGTTTAATTCCATTTGGAATGTAATGTTTAATTCCATTTGGAATGTAATGTTTAATTCCAATTGGAATGTAATGTTTAATTCCATTTGGAATGTAATGTTTAATTCCATTTGAAATGTAATGTTTGATTCCATTTGGAATGTAATGTTTGATTCCATTTGGAATATGATGTTTTATTCCTTTTGGAATAAAAGGTTTTATTTTGTCTTTGGTTTAATGTTTGATCGAACAAGAATAGTTTGTAAACTGTTTGTAAACTGTCTGTAAACTGTCTGTAAACTGTTTTTGAACTGTTTGTAAACTGTTTGTAAACTGTCTGTAAACTGTTTGTAAACTGTTTGTAAACTGTTTGTAAACTGTTTGTAAACTGTCTGTAAACTGTCTGTAAACTGTTTGTAAACTGTTTGTAAACTGTTTGTAAACTGTCTGTAAACTGTCTGTAAACTGTCTGTAAACTGTTTGTGAACTGTTTGTGAACTGTTTGTAAACTGTCTGTAAACTGTCTGTAAATTGTCTGTAAACTGTTTGTAAACTGTTTGTAAACTGTCTGTAAACTGTCTGTAAACTGTCTGTAGTTTTAATGTTTGATTGTGGTGGATATGTATAACTCTATATCCGTTTAACAGTTTGATAACACTTCAAGGATATGTATCTATCTAAATATATCTATCAATATATTTATCTATTAGATGATATGTACTTTATGTCTAGTTTTTCTACATATGTTTAAATTATATACCTATCTATTCGACCTTTTTATAAATCTATATCTATCTATATTTATTTATTTTTCTCTCACTCCATTTATCTATCTTTCAATCTATCTAACACTTTTTACATCTATTTATCCTCTACACTATCTATATATGTATCTATCTGGCTCCATGGGGGTTGCTACAACTATTTGTTTAGGGTTGGCTAGGGTTCAGGTTGTAAAGGTGAAATGTCAAATTTTTGTTTGACAAAATATCAATCTATCCCCCCCCCTCCCCCTCTCAGCCAGTATCTTGTGTCAAATGTAACCGCTTTTCTTGGAGAACAACCTTCTCTCATCAAATTTATCGATTTTAGCTTTCCATAATTAAGCTTCATGGCATTTGATGTTCAGCAGCAGTTTAAACCCTTTGCAAACTTCATTGGGCAACAGCGATTAAAATAAGATTTGCCATTTGAAATTGAATATATAAAAGTTGGAAACTCGGAGATTTGTCCCTTTAAAGGGACTGTAAGCGGAATTTGATATAACCCAATTCATGCAAAGATGACAATGCACGATTTAGACTGTGCACTTAGAAGCTTTGTTGTTGTTTAAGTATGAATTAGATATCCATAAATTTGTTTATCTTCATTTGTGGTTCATTTCTTGCTTATACGAAAAGATGAAGAAATTCACAGAAGTAATTACTTTTCGAGTCACTAAAATGACATTTTATCATGATCAGATTAAGGTTTAAAAATACGCTTACAGTCCCTTTAAACTTTAAGACTCGTTCTTGAAACTGGAAATTAGTTTGAACAGTGAAATTACAGTCGCATTTAAATCTGTTGTCTCCAAATTTCTCCGAACTGGTAGATTGAAGTGCATTATGAGCACTGAGTAATATGAACTATAACTCCAGTATCATGACTCATTCTGATAAACTTTAATTCAATTCAGAATTCATATTGAATTTCAGTTTTACGACAGAAAACAGTTTTTGGTCTCAAACATGTAATCTATTTTTTTCTCAATTCACGTTCGTGACTTGTTGTTTTTATTAGAATGTCCTCTGACTAATAAAGAATGAGTTATTTTACTTTATTTTCAGAAATATTTTGGAATACATTTTTATGATTACATTCTATAAATAAGGAAAGAGACGAGTAATGTTAAAACTATAGGGTACATTATTCATACTAAATTAATTTTGAAGCCCCTCCTTCCCCTCATCCCTTCTAAAAAGTGTCACATTTCTTCGTTCTCCGAATGAGGGCCAATAATAACATTTTAAATCCATTTTATCATTTATTTCCGGGACCGTCAATGTACCACAGTAAATACTAAAGAGTAAATAAAGGTCCTGTTTATTAGCTCAGTGAGCCTTAACCTTGGAATCCATTTTGACTCCTTTAATGCAAATTTGTTGTAATTGCTATTTTTGGACAATACATTTTAAATATTAATGTACAGGGTGTCCCAATAAACATGAGAATTGAGAGACGATTTGAAAGTCGTCTTTGTTTTCATGATATTTAATGCAATGCATATTTATGAGCTTTTCATAAAGTGGTCTAAACCTTTCTCGTGTCTTAAAAATTGACAGAGATAAGATATTTAGACAATATTAATAATATAATAATATAATAATAATAGTGTAATAATATAATAATATTAATAATATAATAATATTAATTGAAATTTTTACAAATTTTGCAATATCTCCGTTAATTTTGAAGATACAAATATGATGGACCTCATTTTGAAAATCTCAAGACCAGGCGTTTTCGATATTAAAATCTTCACTTAATTCCCATGTTTATTGGGACACCCTGTAAATGAAGTCTTATGCGCTATTTTTGACAAATTTTGAGTTAGAGATTAAAATATGACTTAAAATATGTCGATACGGACAGTTAACGTTAGTTTTACGTGATGTTGCATTGACACATCCTAAACTAACATTAAAATACCGTCTTGGCCAACTAAAACGTATTTGGTTGTAAAATGAAAAATCTCATTATTTAAAAAAGTTCACTATATTTAAAAATTTGTTTTTGTAATATTCAAAGATAAATAAGTTGCTTTTGATTTGATTATTGAATTCACAATTATTACGATCGTTGGCATTATAGTTTTCGTCATTTCTCAAATTCAAGGATTTTCAAATTTCTAGTTTTTTATCCGTCTAAAGAAGAGGATCCTTAGTTTCCTCTCTAAACAAGCCTTGAAAGAAAGTTTTCAATTTACAGATAACACTTTTTTTAGATAAAGATTAAAAATTGTTAATACTGATTGACAGTAATTATAATTAAGAGGATTATACTTTGTCACAAGATAAAAGTACAATTTTTAATGCGATGTAAGATAGATATGATAGATAAACAAGGATGTTTATTGTAGGACAAGAGCATAATGTGAGTAAACAAACAGATAATCTTGCCCAAGAAAGATCAAGAAGGAACCTCCATATCTTTGTGTACATCAAAAGTGTACTGCAATTTCAGATTGGAATGTAAGTAAACTCCGGTACTGCTCAAGCTGAGTTTTGTTTATATTCCTCCCAGAAACTGAATTATACTCATTTTGTAAACAAACATATTCCTTGTGTATCTTCCTTGATCTGACCCAGTTGAGTATGGATACGATAAACGTATATTGACCAAGGTGTAAACCCAACAACACAAATACTAGAAACACAATCAAACGTGTACTGAAGTGTGTCCTACTTATAACTAGACACATTCTTCATATGTCGTTTTCGTGATTTGAGTCTCGGTATTCTTGCAAGAAACATAATATTAATAGAACGATTTTTAAACCGATCATTGTCATTTTTTTTATGGAACCTTTTCTGGGACACACTTAGTTTTTAATTTAAATAGATATTAAGCATCGAGTGAATTAATGCAGTCCATTTTTTATCCAAAACCAATGGTTTTTATGTAATATGTATATTCTGTAAGTGGAAGCGGGCATGAGAAAAAGGAAAAGGGGCTGTGTGATGTTTATTCCCCAAAAAAGCAATTGTTTTCTTCAATATTAATATATATCCCTGTTTGTTTTAATATGATGAGTAAAGTAAAAACATAAATCAGTAAAAACTAAATGATGGATATGAATATACACTGGATGAAATGAAACGAGATATCATGTTTTGTTTAAACTCAATCTAAAATGCGTAGTAAGAAGATAATTTCATCTTAAATAAGCACTTTATAGTTATTCCATCGAAAAAGAATATTTTGAAAGTAATGTAGACTAAAAAATGTTAATCCTAAAACATTCATCTAAAGAAAACGTAAAAATGTGGGAAGGATTTAATAAAAGTTGATATTGTGTAAATATACTGAGCACAGAGAGAATAGAATATATATTAGAGAGGAATTTACTAGAAAAAAGTGTAAAACGGCCATTTTGTTGTACTGTTTCCATACTGCAGGTGTACTTCACATATTTATGCTATATAACCTTTTTGGCCCTGGAATATCATTTATAAAGTTTATTTAACAGCGTTAAATAATTCGAAATTGAAATGGATAGTCAAGGGAATATACTGTATTAATGTACTCTACTGCATATAATTTGTAAACATTTACATGATTTGTACACTTTGAACTCCCTTTCAGGCTGAAAGGGACTGAAAAAATTCATACCGAGAGATTCTTTAAATTCCCCTCTAATATATATTCTATTCTCTATGACTGTGCATGAAAGAGCAGATTGTAAAGGGATAACAGGTAGTAAAGTGACATGTAAATATACAAAGGTTTGAAGCCGGGGAAGGGGGGGAGGGGGGATGTTTAAATAAAAGAGAAAGACTGCAGGGCAGACTGGTGCCTGGTGGACAGGTGTGTACTGTGCCACACCTTTATACATTATACAATGTAAATAATTAGAATAAATTATAATCTTCAGTTTTCTAGTTCTAACTAATCAGCACTATTTTAATTTTTGTAATAAACTGAAAAAAAAGTATGTTTTTGTTTTGTTTTTGGTTCAATTGAACAATTTTACACATTGAATGTACTCTTCAATACAAAACAAAATTTAAACCAAAAACGATATAAATAACCTTGAAGAAAAATGTGCCCGCTTTTAGCACCTTAAAGTGTTAATTTTGAATCTAGGATCTGATTCTTGTACTTTAAGATAAGGAAATTAGTATAGTTTTCCAAAAATATAAAAATTAAAAAAACACAACATTTTGGTTTTCTGAGAATCATAAATGTTGCGTGTTATTTGAAAGATTTTTGAGTATATTTAAACACAGACAATCCTTGGCGTTGTTCAGATTAAGATTATATATAATTTTGGGTTTGTTTTGGACTTAAAAAGATATCGTAAAATCCATCTTTTGCTTTTTCTTACGCTTTTAATGAAACGATAGTTTTTTTACTTAAAAAATATGTAGATTTGAATTATAAACACCCTGGGTAGATGTGGTTGCTTGTATGCCTATAATAAACTGCACCCCCGCATACCAAGCCCTGAACGTTGCATTCAAAGCAAATATTTCTTTCAGTTCAAACTTTTTATTTCTTCCTTGATCATGAATCTAAGAACGTAAAGAGCAAGCAATGTATTAGTTATCTTTGTTTGTAAATCAAATACAATTATATACAGGGTTACTCACAAAGGATGAGACTGTGGAGACGACTTTAAACTTTTTAAATTTAACGATCTTCTTTGTCTTATTTAGCAATTTTATAAAGAAAGATAGATATTTGTATTGAATCATAAATATAAGGAAAAAGTCGGTATAAATTCCGTACAGTCGTCTCCTACGTCTCATCCTTTGTGGGTAACCCTGTATCTGCTCTTGATCTAAAATTCCATACAAGTTGCCACATTTTTACAAGTTTTAATGCGATATTTGATACATTGAAACCTGCGCAAAATAAGTACGAATCAAAATTATGATGAACTAAGCAAAAAAACGCTTCTAAATATTTTTTTAGAGTTTACATTCTCTGATATGCGCAGCGGAAACTGCAACCTAATGACTTAATAAAATTTTGTAACAACAATGCTACTGAGATTGTCTGTTATCAAGCTAAATATATATCCTACACACAATTAGGTCTTAAGAAATTTTAATAAAGTTAAACAATGAATACACATTTTATTTTCCCAAGCCCCCCCCCCCTCTTCTTCCTGGTCTGCTTTATAGTTTCTTCCAAACCTCCCCCCCCCCTCCGTCGACTCATTTCCGCTATGTTTTGAAAGACATGTTCTCATACAGTTTGCGTCTTTAAATGTGTCTAAACTAAATTTTATTTGAACTGCTCACTCTCAGAAAACATATAAAATATGGCATGTCTGCCCGGTATAACTTAAAAGTAAGAAAGTAATATCCAAGGTAATAAGGCAAGGAGAGTTAATTGATGTAGTGTATACTCTGCGTACATATTGAAACCAGTTCTCTCTGGGCTGTGTTTGTAAACAAGAATAGATGCATCAGTGTTACTCTAATATCCGAGGAGGATAAAAGCATTTAATTTTGATAAATTTGATAATTCATATAATCGTTCCTATGAGTATGACCTCAATATTTCATTGATTTTTTATGTGAAAGATGGATCCAATGTCAGGCTGTGACATACGTCTTGTGTTTACATTACCGCCCAGAGACAGTACACTGCAGTACAAAAGATGCGTACACCTCTTAAAATAACTATCTTTACTTTATAATTCTTTGGTAATATCTAGCTCTTTGTTTGATTGATGTCATGTCGATAAACCTTTGACCGATTTGCTTCAAATTTTGATTGGGTAAAACAACGGGAGTGTTCCTTTGATTGGTTAAAAATTCTAATTTCTAATTTCTCTTTTCATTATTATTATTAAAATCAATATAATAGTTTATAAGAGTGTGAATTCGAACTGGTAAATTATACAGTGTGTACAACTTAAAATGTAAAACTCATGATGTGTACAGTATAGTACAACTACTGTACACCATTGGGGTTTTATAAATCATGTGAAATGGCCATAGAGAATAGAATATATATTAGAGGAAAATTTACTAGAAAAAAGTGTAAAACGGCCATTTTGTTGTACTGTTTCCATACTGCAGGTGTACTTTACATATTTATGCTATATAACCTTTTGGGCCCTGGAATATCATTTTATAGAAAATCTAAAATTATTGTTAAAAGAAAACCAAACTATGAAATAGGCTAAACCAATTGACCAATGATCATTTGACATAGACTCTATGCCTTCCACTTTACAAGCGATGATTTTCCGTTATAACTATAAATCAAATGATGTTTTTATTTACCTAATTCAAATTATAAAGTTTATTTAACAGTTTAAAAAATTCGAAATTGAAATGTTAATAGTCTAGGGAACATATTGTATTAATGTACTCTACTGCATACAATTTGTGAACATTTACATGATTTGTACACTTTGAACTCCCTTTCAGGCTGAAAGGGACTGAAAAAATTCATACCGAGAGATTCTTTAAATTCCCCTCTAATATATATTCTATTCTCTATGGAAATGGCATACTCTCTGTTTTTCTAATAAAAATATATATTTCCCTTGTTGTAGCAGAATACAACAAGCTCAGTATTTTATCTATTTTCAAGTTTATCTCTCAAAGTAAATACAAAATTATGAGAATTATCAAAATAACCTGAAAATTATTCAAAAATAGCCTCTTATCCCCCCCCCCCCATAAAGTTTTATAAATTTCATAACTTACACTTGTATGATGTATGGACTCTCACTACATGTAATTCACAATATCTATTTCACACTTATTTTAAAGTAAACACTTTTGAATAGATTTCGTTCTATGTAAATCCTTTAAGGTTTGCCATGGTCAGTGCTAGGTATGGTTTGGTTCACTGAGTATACTAGATGACGCACAGGTGCACACCTGCTCAGTTCCAGGGTCTGATCACAACTGAAACTTTATTCAAGTGAGTCACACTCCCTTGCGCTTGTAGTAGGTAGAGAGAGATAGCTTAGAGACGCAGATTTATATTTTTAAATCGATTGCATTAACAAGCCAGATATGCTTTTAAGGTTTCTTTTATTTTCAGGTTTAATTGAGAAATAAAAGCAAATCAATAATTCCCGAGAAGAGAAAGGTTTAGAATACATTTCTCATTAGTGCTCTAAAATATGCTCTATAAAACTTTATTTGTAAAAACTGTCTCCATGTAACCTATAGGAGGTAGAGGAGGACAAGAAACGATCACTATAAAACTTTTGATTCCTATTCCCTATTTATCTAAAATACATATCTATATATACTTATCTTGCCATGGTGTTTCTCTGTTTGTTTGTATCCAATAAACGTCTAAACGGTTAAACCGATCGGGACCAAATTTTGTGTGGGACCTCGCGTGACCCCAGAGAAGGTTTATGGATGATCGAATTTTTAAAGGTAAACAAAATTTATTCATAAAATCTGCGAAATTATTTTTTATTTTTGTTTTACAATGTATAAAAAGAGTGCATGTTTACAATTAAATAGAAAATGGGCGCGAAGCGCACTAAGCCTGGTATTGTATATACATCAAACAGATGTATTTCAATGTAATTAGCGGATATTGTAAATAATAAAATTGTAAAAAGATGCAAAAAACTAAGATGGAAGAGCATGTTTATGTAATAAATGTCGAGAACATAGAATGTCTTTAAGGGTGGGGAGAGCTTAATATCAGTAATNTTCACGCATTATAGTTTTATAAAGACAGATATTTTTCCTGTTTTGCACTAGGGTTTCTTTCCCTTATGCATGCTATTGAGAAGCTATTCTGAAAATAGGAACAAAAAATTCCAAATTCAGGGGGGGCTACGCCCCTCCCTGAATCTGTCAGGGAAGGGGCGAATTCCCCCCGCCCCCCTGTATCCGCCCCTGATAATATATGTATATAAAAAGAAATTCTAAATTTATCGTCTTTTATTTCAGGAAACCATTTTACATTTTATCATCTTTTTTGTAAACATAACAAAGCCTCCTTCCCCTTTTTAGGCCGCGCTGCACATGCTATATAACAAACTTTAAAGGGAGTGTTCGCGAAAAATAAAAGGGGGTATAGACTAACGGCGAAAAAATATAAATAGTGATTGCTACTAATCTTACTTCTATCTGTTACGCTTATAAGGAGAAAAATTGTTAAAAACGACTCATATCGAATCATTTATACAAGTTAAGAAAGTTGCAGCATACGACGCGGATCGTAAAAAAATCAACTTAATTCCATTCAGAAAAAAAATATTATGAAATATATTTTTCTGGTGGCCCTCTAGTTGTGGGGGAGAGGGGGGGGGGGAGGTGTCATGTTTCTTTTAACTGTCCAAGAGTTAAAACTTTCAGGCTGTCAATTAATCATTCAAGTTTAATGTTAACCCCGTACATATGTTATTTAGACAGGCAGGGGCGTAATGAGTCATTTTTCAAAATGATACCTTTTAATTTCATGCTTTACATTTCCCTGCTGTAAGGGTGGTGGTGCTAGGGGGTGCACCCCCTCAATCCATCCCTGGTTATTAATGGATCTTTGCATTGATTTCTGCACTTCATACTTGATGCAGTAAATCACCAATACATTAAGAAACACACAAGTAATTGCACCGCAATTGCACAAGAAAAATCGTAAAATTAGTTGTTAACAAAATTTTTAGCGCAATTATGCTAACAGATATCAAAAATGAAATTATTTCCAAGAAATAGACAATCTTTTAATCAGCTAAATTCTGATTCATAAATTATACAAAATATTGCGTGAAATAAAAATCACTACAATTTCTCATTGTGATACGTCAGGCAAACATGCGTAACATGCGTCAATGCAGTCTAACTTTTCAATGACGCATCCTCGCCAGTTTCAAGAGAAATATGAACAATGAATGAGGAATCCGAATATACACTAATATCTCTACAAGCAAAACCTTTAAACTGTAAGTCATGGCATAGGTTTAAAATTTGATTCCAGACAAAATACCAGTTAAACTATAAATTTCTTAGTGGATTTCATATATATATATATATATGCAGGGGCGGATACAGGATTTAAGTGAGGGGGGGGGGGGCAAGATTTTTTAGGAACAAAAAAATTCACGATTAGGAACAAAAAATCGCGCCTCAGGCGAAATTTTTTTTGACTTAAAAGGCTCAAAAAGTGCCAAAATTAATGATTAAAGACTAAAAAACTAGATTTTTAACTTTTCACGCATTATAGTTTTATAAAGACAGATATTTTTCCTGTTTTGCACTAGGGTTTCTTTCCAAACCAAGATATAAAAAAACAATTCTACAAATTCCAAGGAAAGAACTCTTAAAACCAAGGTTAGAATTTGAAACAAAAGAAACTGAAAACATAAATGGATTAATTTTTTCATTCAAAACCATAATTTTCTTGTTCTAATATCTTTGCATCCTGATGTTATACACCTAAATGATAATTTCAACTTACAGTTAGAAATTTTAAAGGTTTACTCCATCAAGTTGCAAAGATAAAGGGATAAGAAAATAAAATTTTCAGTTTTCAGTTTCTTTATACTTCAACTGTTAAATACTTTTAATTTACGAATGAGTTTAGTTAAATTGTATATTTAGTTGAAGAATTAAGGAGATATTAATATTATGTTATGTGATCTTGCTCAAAAATGAAAAAAAAACATTCGTTAAAACAATTGAGGAGCAACCTAATTTCATTATTCAATACTTACAGGACAAAATAGGATATATTGCTAGCTAGTACAGCTAATGTGAAGCAGTTTTTATCCTCCAAATACAAGCTGCAGAAACTTTGCGCACATTTCAAGGTTTCAAGGACTTATTTTCTCCGTTTTCTAGCTGGGGGTCCATGGTCAATGGGGCAGTGGATACTGGGTACCACAGCTAGGCACGTAGACAAGCATCATTGCATTTTGCAAACTTTAAACTGTATCCTAGGTCTGGAAGGGGGGGGGGTAGAGGGATAAAAAAATGGATTTAATACAATATTGATAAAAAGCATTTGAATTCCCTCAAAAAATATGATTCATATATCCTCAACCCTCATAGTCATCTTTAGCTAAAAACGTCAAATCTAATCGGGCTGGGGGAGGGGGGAGGATAGAGGGAAACAATATTGTTTGATTGAGGGGATCAAATAAAATATTTGTTCTTATAACAATTTTCGAATCAGTTCATTCTTTTACTTTGCGACATTTTGATTTTTCAACCCCCTAGTTGTATAAAGAAAAACTGGAGGATTTATAAAAATATTCAGGGGGGGCTATGGCATCTCAGCCCCTCCTGGATTAGTAAAATTTATCGTTTTCGGGGGGTTTTGAGGCTCAAACAGGTGCTGAGCCCCCCGCCCCTTAGAAAGTAAAAGAAAACGTAAAAATTCCTGAATACGCCCCTGTTCACAAAGAGAAAGATATCGTCATTTTTCTATCTTGAAAACAGATAAATTCTGTTAACTACTGCTTAAAACCTAGTTGCTTGCATAGATAACCCCACAATGAGAACTTATCAATTTTAAGATAGAAAAACAAGGATGCCTTCATAATACTTGCTCAGGCACAAGTTCTAAGGCATTTTTGTGAATTTCTCCTGAAACTCTTTAAGGAAGGGTAACTAAGAATAAAAAAGTAAAGAATGGTTTTGGGTTAAGGTGAGTATTTATCACCCTGGGTTAGGTGTAAACATGACTGAAGAGGAAGAAGGGTGGAAGAATTGTAAACTGCTTCCTTATATTTTTTTCTGTACATATCCCCTTCGTTGCGCATTTCTGGATTGTTTAGACGTTTATATCTAACTAAATAAAACAATTGCAAATATACATTAATCATAAATGAAAATTGTTTGGTCAACCCTCTAGAAATTAGGCTGACAAGTTTTTAATAATTGCAAATTGCAAATGAACACTAATTGCAAATATACCCTGATTGTAAATTTAAATTTGCACGGTCAACCCTCTGGAAATTAAGATGACTAACCTTTAACCCTGAAATACTCTAGTTTAATGACTAGGATACAAATAATGTGAAGTTAACAATTTTAATTAATACCAAAAAGAACTGTTCACTAAAACACAACTTGTCAACACTAAACTTGACAATAGAACCACACCCCCTCGGGCTGAGGTTGAAAGGAAACTGGAAAAGAACAGATCAATATACTTGAATATACTAACTATCTATCTATCTAGGGTAGGAGGGGGAAACTCCCAATGTATAACATATACCCAGTAAGAGGGGAATATATATCTTGCAGGCCAGTTTCTTCTGTCACACGAGTCAACAGGCACAATACGTAGAAATAATTACCAAGGTTTTTAGTAGATCAATATCAAGAACATGAAGAAATAGCTTAATCAATAAAATAGAAAAACCAAAGAGTATGATCATTAAAAAAATCAAAAAAGTTGGTTAACTAATGAAACCTTTAGAATTCTTGCTGAATGACAGGCTGAACATAAACAGATATCATTTTTAAAAATAATATGATTTTTATTAACCAAGTTTCAATCTTTACAAAGATCGTTATCAATTTTATCATGATAAATATCAAGATCTTGATATTGATTAAGATCTTTAGCAATATCAAGATCTTTTGCAATATCAAGATCTTTTGCAATATCAAGATCTTTTGCAATATCAAGGTCTTGATCAATATCAAGGTCTTGATATTGCTCAAGATCTTGATCAATATCAAGATCTTGATAAATGTTAAGATAATGATAAATATCATGATCTTGATCATGATATGATAATAATAAATATCATGATCTTGATCAATATCAAGATCTTGATAAATATCAAGATCTTGATAAATATCAAGATCTNGGGGGGGGGGATGAAAGGGCATATTTAGTTTTCTCTACTGGTTCGGTCACACCCTGTAGAATTTAATCTCCTATACGTAGTGACTAGCGTGTATTATGTATATCCCTTCAGTCCTCCAGTTGGTTTAAATCCTCAGTATATCCCTTCAATCCTCCAGTTGGTTTAAATTCTCTGTATTTCCCTGCAGTCCTCCAGTTGGTTTAAAATCTCAGTATATCCCTTCAATCATGTATAAACTCCGCTTTATATCCCTTCAATCCTCCAGTTGGTTTAAATCCTCTGTATATCCCTTCAATCCTCCAGTTGGCTTAAATCCTCTGTATATCACTTCAATCCTCCAGTTGGCTTAAATCCTCTGTATATCACTTCAATCCTCCAGTTGGTTTAAATCCTCTGTATATCCCTTCAATCCTCCAATTGGTTTAAATCCTCTGTATATCACTTCAATCCTCTGTTTATCCCTTCAATCCTCCAGTTGGTTTAAATCCTCTGTATATCCCTTCAATCATGTATAAACTCCGCTTTATATCCCTTCATGCTTCCCCCCCTCCGGGGTAAAATACTTGTAAATACTGTTTTCCCTCCTATTCTTGATTTATCCTAATTATGAATAAATTATCTCAATTTACTAAAGCTATAAATCAAGAACAGGGACTTCCAGGGAACATTAAATATAAAAATGTATGTCGCGTAAATAAAAATAATCATTACATCTTTATGTTCCATTAAAGAGGGAAGATTATCATAAATACTTGGTTGTTATTTACGTAATAATTATGAAGAGACATAAATCTCTAAATTCTCTCAAATAAATCTAAATGTACGAAGGCATTTCCTGTTTTAATATTATTCTTCTGTTCTGAACTTCCTTGAATTCCTACCCCCCCCCTCTTCACCTCAATGAAAATACTAACCATTTCCGTTGGTTAATCAGCGAAGACAGAATACCGGGGTCGAGCCAAGAAGGGGAAGGGAGGGGGGGGGGAAGGGTGTGAGTTAGTGGGATCATTTATGTATTTTCTCAGGGTGGGTCAATTAGTCTATTCAGTACTGGGAAAGTACCCTAAGGGAAAATATAAAGGCCAAAAAAACATTTTTTAACTTTGATGGTTTTAGAATTGTACAAAATAATTTTGAATTAGTGATTAAAAATGATATGAGTAAGTTGCTCCAGTTTACGACAATATGATAATAATAAATATCATGATCTTGATCAATATCAAGATCTTGATCAATATCAAGATCTTTATCAATATCAAGATCTTGATCAATATCAAGATCTTGATCAATATCAAGATCTAAACAAGGTCGCTCGATTTATTTAAAATGAACAGAGAGAAAAACAAAGGCTTAAGAAAGGAAAGATAAGGAAAATGTAATTGATGATGTAAGTAACACAGTTACATCATCAATATAACCATGTCTTACATAGCATGTATCTATAGAGCAGATTGAGAAAAAGAACATATTTAATTTAAAACAGAGAACAAAACTTTAATTTTGGGAAATACTCTAAAAAAGGATAAATGTTCAACATGTTTTGATAATATACTTCAATTTGATGGAAAAATGCGGATAACCTCAAATATATTTTCGTATATTTTTGGTAGGCGATTATATCAATTAAATGAAGACGACTTTCGATTTCAATTTTGATTTATATCAAACTTTTAAATAGCATGGATACGCAAAAACACAAAAGCTTCTCTTTAATAACTTGTAAACTTGTCATTCGAAAAAAGCTTGTTAACAATTAAAACTTAAATAAAAAAGTGGTCTACATATTGATATAATCGCCTACCACCTTATGAAAATATCAAAATTGTTATATAAATTCTTCAACTTCTTAGCTAAAAAGTATTCTAAAAATGTTCAAAAAGTTGGGTCCAAAAAAATGGTTTATCGAAAGAAATTGAATTTACAACGAAAGTTAGAAGGTTATGTTTTCGATTTTTTCGAATGGCTTATCGAATTCTCGCAAACGAGATTGAACAGAAATTTTCAAAGATATGATTGAACAGACAACTCTGCACCTGAAGAGATTGCTTATTTTTATATAAAAATAATAATTTTAATATTTTTTATATTGATTAATCTTAAATTAAATGTTCTGCTTTATTTTGATAAATAATATACATCTAAATTAAATCTGGGTGCTTGTTTTTCCTGTGCTTTGTTAAAGCACATTTTTCATTTGCTATATATTTACATTCACTACAAGGATAACGAATTCTTTCATGAATATTTTGTTTGTGTTTCTTTAGGTCTGACTTTTTTGTTGCCGCATAGTCACATATATCACAGGGAAATCGAATTCCTTCATGTTTATTCTTAATGTGTTGTTTTAAATGCGAGTTTGAGGTTGTTGAGAATTCACATAGGTGGCATTGAGCTTTGTGGTTAGGAGTTTGGTTTGGACCATCTACATCAAGAACAGTGTGTTTACTTTTAATGTGTTTTGCTAAGTGACCCTTTTCCGTGGCTGCAAAACCGCAAAAGCTGCATGGATACCGAATACCCTAAATTAATTAAAAAACGAAATTATTTGAATACTATCTCTATATTAAACATTTTATAAGATATGCAGAATGCAACAACTTAAAGATTGAACAAAAATGTATATGTAATATAATAAAATAGTAACTTTTAGAATAGTATAAAAAGAAATGTATGTCATGTTGAAATTGCAAAAGCTTAAAAATCATAATTGTTTTCTCTCCCAAGACCCTCCCTCTCATCCTGAACCCCTCCCATATTTCTCTCCCAAGACCCTCCCTCTCATCCTGAACCCCTCCCCTATTTCTCTCCCAAGACCCTCCCTCTCATCCTGAACCCCTCCCCTTTTTCTTTCCCAAGACCCTCCCTCTCATCCTGAACCCATCCCCTATTTCTCTCCCAAGACCCTCCCTCTCATCCTGAACCCCTCCCCTATTTCTCTCCCAAGACCCTCCCTCTCATCCTGAACCCCTTCCCTATTTCTCTCCCAAGACCCTCCCTCTCATCCTGAACCCCCTTACAGAAAACAATTTGTCGAATGTCGAACCATTATCCTCAACCATTACATTCATGTAAACTCAAATAACGTTTTTTAAGAGTATTTACCACAATTTTTATTAATATTCCACTTAAGTTATATAATTCATAAATCACATATATATCTAGATGGTCAGTCCCAAATGTATTTTAAACCCAACCCCAAACTAAAGAATTGACTAAAATTATATTTTGCAAAGAATCCCATTCTGTCAGAAATGCTGGTCTAGGAATTGTTTACATTTATCTAGAAATAAATCTAAATCAAAAATCAAGGAGAACATCTTATGGCCTCAAATTAACAGTCAAGGATAAACTGAAAATACCTCGTGAATATTCTCTTTATGCTTTTTCAAATCTGCTGTTCTAGTCGCAGCATAACTACACAGATCACAGGGAAACCGTATACCTATAATTGAAACATTTTGAATTAACATTATATACCAAGTGTACACTGTTTAAACTGTAATTTAATTTAATTGATAAGTTTTTTTTTTGTCCAATTTATATATTAAAAGTTAATTCTGACAGAAGCTTAATATTCGAAATTAAAATCAAATATTTGTAACATTTTGCAACATTACCTTCGTGCTTGATTTTTCTGTGTTCTTTCAAATGTGATGATGTTGTTGATTTAAATTCACATTCAAAACATTGGAAACGAACTCCTTCATGAACAATCATTCTGTGTCGTGTCAAGCTTGCAACTGTTTTAGCAGAATGTTCACACTCAGTGCAGGGAAACCTCGAACCTGAACAGTGAATGTAAATTGCAAAATAATTCAAATACGAAAACATATCAAATTTATTCTAATTCTAGTTGCAGGTGAAATGTTGCAACTTACGTTAAGGTAACATTTAATGTTGTCAAAACGTTCGGACTGAAAGATAATTTTAAAAACAACTGCTTAACCTTATCAGCCTTTGTGAATTGTTGTACCAAAATTTTTTTTAATTTCATTTAAGAAATGAAAAAAAATGCAGTCACGGGCATCAAACTTGTACTTTGAAATGATAAAAAATATTTAAAGTACCTGTAATCTTTTCTGGCAATCCCTTCACCGAAATCGAATGATCTGAAGAAATTCAATGAAAAAAAGTTGTCAAGTTGAATAAAAAAAAAGTTCTTTTGGCAACAATAATACCTATGATAGTTAAATTGCATTGAGGTTGAAAATGAAGAGGATCTACTTCAAAATACATTTTATCATCCAGAGGATCTAATCCAGCTTCCAGTTTGTCTTCTAAACAAACATAATTGTTTCGTAATTGATGTTCTGTTATATTTATTTATATATATATATCATCCTATATCAGTGGGGGACAGGGTAGGGATAACCACCCCCCAACCCCTAAATCCTAGAAAAAGATTTTTTACCTCCCGCCTTCCTATCAAAATTAGTATTTTTTATTTATTTCAGGGTTAGATTAGGTTAGGACAATTGCAGGGTCGAGCACTAAGACTAGACTGGTTAGGGGGTCGAGCGCAGCGGCCCTCGATTTAAATTATTTTTATACAAATATTCCGGGTCCTTCATAGTATACAATTTTTGGACCCCCCCCCCCATTCCCCCCTATCAATTTTGTACATGACCATTAACTTTAAGCTATTTTTTGTTTTAGGGTTAGGTTAGATCAAGACAATTTCTGGCCCGAGCACTGCGGCTAGGACAGTCTAGGGGGCCCGAGCGCTGCGGCCGGGACGGGCCTTCAATTTCAATAATTTTAGGTTAGGTCAAGGTAAGACACTTTAGGACATGCTAGGGGGCCGAGCGCCGCAGCTAAGACAGGCTACGGGGCGGCGGGGCCGGGCGCTGCGGCCACATGGTCAACTATATCCATGTCTAACATTTAAGATCCATGTACAAAATAATAAGAGGCAGGGGGGGGGCAAAAATCGTATACTAGGAAATTCCCGGGATATATACCTTTCTGGTTAAAATATTCCTCTTTCTTCTCAATTTTCAGAATCGAGCCATCAGTCATAACACATTCTGGATCCAGTTCTGTTTTAATTTCTTCTTTCATTTCACAATTGATAAAAATATCATCTTCAGCTTTCATTTTACCTAAATTAACGTTAAACTTATTTTCAAGGTTTATATATTTCATATTTTTTGAAATAATTTCGCTTGAAGCAAATTTTTGCTGATTGATTAATAACGTTTATTTCTTTATAACTAATTCTTGGTAGTTTTGCTGCCAATTCAAATATATTAAAAAGTCTAAAATTAATTAATACTAGAAAAAATTGGATTACTCACGAGTTTGTTTACTTTTGTCTAAAATTCTTACAAATATGCGCAACTACCGCGCTGACAATTTAAACATTATTTTTAAGAAAAAATTTTTGAAAGACGACATTCAAACACTTTTCCTGAGATAAATATTAAATGATGAAACTAGGAGAGGCACTGTGCGAACTGTGCACACAAAGTAAATTTATTCACTTTGGGAGGCTCACCACACCATTTTTTCGTCCGACCATACCTTTTTGTTTCGTCTGGCATTGCTTAATTTCCTTGCTAAGTACTTTAAATTATTTGAATTATTGTGCCACAAGTACGTTGTTATATAATGGTTAAAATTGTTATTTCATAATCTCTCAATCAAATCAAAACCAATTGCTATGTTCTCTACCAAAAAATCTTAATTTTTAGTACAGATTCTAAAACTGCAAGTATGTGTTTCCAACGCAAGTGGATTTTACTTGCGCACAATTCCGTTATACACGCACACGATAAATGCAATGGAATTGTGCGCAATTGCACACTTTAGCACGCAATTCCGTTCAATATTTAATTATTATTTTGAGAATATTCATTTTAAGGCTAATGGAACGCAATAAGGATTAATTAATTGCGCAATTTCGTTCAACAACATTGAGTAAAAAAAAATCATTTAAACTTTGGTAGTGACATAAAGTAAACTGAATTTCACTAATATTTCAGTCACAAATGCTAAGCAAATTTAATTTAAACTTAATCTGTTGATTTTTTAATATTCATATGTAGCATAATAACCAGAAAAGTTATCTGGCATAGGAAGACGACTTTTAGACTCTGGGTCTGCTTTAACTAAATAAGAAATTTAAAAAGGTACTAAATAAAAAAATGGATTCGTAACGACATCTAATACACTGTAATGCTGTCTTCCTGACTCTCACTGTACCAAAATATCTAATTTTAATCAAATGAAATTTACAATTTTAATCAAAAAATGTTTCATGTAAAATTGTTTATTTATAGGTTCAGTGGCGTGCTAGGGGGGCCGCGCCCCGCGCCCCCCACCCTCCTATACGCGTGCCCCCCTGAGAGGCTGAGAGGACCCATGGGGACGCTCTTTTAATATTACATCTGCCTGCATTCCCCTTCCTCAGGCCAGGCACAGTGGGGGGGGGCAGTAGTCCTCTTGCCCCCTGGGAGTTCTGGGGGTGCAGTGCCCCGCCTGTAAATACAATATTAAAAGGAAACTACGTTTAGAAAGTAACACCTTACAATGACAAAGATTAAGGATTTGTCTAAATTCACTGTTAATACAAGGAGAGAAAAGTTTTAGCCTTCTAAAGAGAATACTTCATTAAACAAGATGTATACTATGTCGGAGAGCAGACTTAACGATCTTGCACTTATAGCTTTACACCCTATAAGGCTGTCTGAGCTCTCTACTGAAAAAAATCATTGAAATGTTTGAGCAAGCAAATCCCAGAAAATTGTAGCTTAAAAGATTTGGTTAAAATGTAGATTGAGTAAATTCTATCTAAAAATTTCAGAAGAAATTTCGTTTATTAGTAAATATATAATTTTTAATGATGCTGTGATTATTGATTTAGTTAGCTGTGATGGATTTAAGTGATAAATTTATAAAGTTTACTTATTTATACCGCAGGGTCCCATTTGTCATCTAAGCGAGCTTAGAAGTAAAACGAGTTACCCGACCCGCCAAAAATGTAATCTTTATGGTAAACAAAACAAGTCCAGGTGGGGGGGGGGGGGGGACAAAAAAATTTAAAAAAGGTATCAATATTTTTTCAAAAGAGGGGTTTTTAAGGGGGGGCACAATATTGCCGAAGGGAGGGGACCCAACAAAATTTTTTGCACGCTTACGCGCGCAAATTATGCCCCCCCCCCCCAAAAAAAAACAAAAGCCCTCGTACGCCCCTGATTAGATTAATAGCTTAACAACAAGAAACTTTAAGATATTAAAGATATTGAAAAATTTCAAGGGACTGATGATTAAAAACTCTACAGAGATAACTTTTATCCTTTTCCATTCTTGTATATCTGCTATGTACATAAATAAGCTATAATTTAAAATTATTAATTTTTAGATGGAAAAGTCTTTACAAAGCAATTCCGTTGCACACTATTCAGCACAATTCTGCGCAATTCCGTGAGGATTTAATTGCTTTTCTTGTTAGTAATTATAGCGCAATGAAATGGCGCAAGCTGAAGCTGTCACCGCGCAACGGAATTCTGATTTGAAACCCTACTTTCAGCCTGTAGTATATAACCTAAAAGATGCAGGAGTAAAAAAAGAAAACACCAGAAAAGTGTACGGTCCGAACGAAAATCAACCCATATTGAAAAACATGACGTTGCCTGAAAAGTATTATATGGAATAGAAATCAAAAATACAGTTGAAAGCTATAGAAGCAACACCCGGACAAAAAAACTGTGGCTGGAAGAAATAACCACCCACCAATTTATAATTGTGCATCATTTGTTGTGCGGACGGAAAAAAAGGTGTGGTGTGCCTTCCCTCCTGCAGAGCTTGTGCTTTTGATGGGAAGGGATCTTAAACACTTAATCTTTTATTTTGTGCCAATTATAACACCAAGTGGTAGAAAAAAGCCATAATCCTTGTTTGGAAATAATGGCTCCTGAAATCAGTGGCGCAACTAATTGGGGAGATTAAACAACTTTAAAAAGCCAAAGTTTTAAAATACAAGAACCATTGTTCTATCTTACTTTGTTCCTTGATTAATTATACCACTAATGTTTTCATTGTAACAAAGATATGGGTTCCCTTTTACTTTGCTACTTGACCAATTACCACAAAGGTTTTTTATTGTATCAAAGATATGGGTTCCATTTTATTCTTTGCTACTTGATTAATTACCACAAAGGTTTATATTGTAACAAAGATATGGGTTCCATCTAACTTTGTTACTAGATTAATTACCACCAATGTTTTCATTGTAAAAAAGATATGGGTTCCATCTTACATTGTTACTTGATTAATTACCACCAATGTTTTCATTGTAACAAAGATATGGGTTCCATCTTACTTTGTTACTTGATTAATTACCACCAATGTTTTTATTGTAACAAAGATATGGGTTCCATCTTACTTTGTTACTTGATTAATTACCACAAAGGTTTTTATTGCAACAAAGATATGGGTTCCATCTTTCTTTGTTACTTGATTAATTACCACAAAGGTTTATATTAAAACAAAGTTATGGGTTCCATCTTACTTTTGTCTTTGAATAATTACATACCACAAATTATTTATTAAAACAAGGATAATTCCATGGTAACTGGATTAATTACCACAATGGATTTGTTATCACAAAAATATGGGTTCCATCGAGTCACGGAAGTTCGTATTAAGATTTTGACTCTACTGGAGGGAATTTATTTTCACTGGAGGGGTTCGAAAAGATGCTTTTTACAATTTAAAACTTTACGCAGCCTTGCAGGAGAACATTTTATCCTTCCTGGACATAAACTGTAACATCTAACAGTTGGCGTGCTATAGAAGGTTTGGGACCTTGGGATTAGTTTACTTAAAGTACGAGAATTTAAATACATAAAAGATTTTATGACTGAACTCAGATATTTTTTCAATTAAATGTGGAACTAACAACTTTATTTAATCAATAAAGGTTTGGTCTATCATCATCACTGATTTTTAAATATGAATGTAGTTTCACACGATAATATAGCTAAGCAAAAATGATTTGAAGGCAGTGAAGATGTTTCTGTCATTAGAAAAAAACTATAAGATTAGAAAATTTTAAAAAATTTAAATGGTAATTTCTATATGACAAGATAAAACAATTTGTGAAGAACTATGATCTCTCGAAAACCATATCATGCAGGTCTGCCACTTTAGTAATTGTAAATTGGCGGTACAGTCCAGACTAGGACCGCAAAGGTTGTCCCAGCTCGGATATTCAAATGTCCCAGCTCGGATATTCAAATGTCCCAGCTCGGATATTCAAATGTACACCGGTTTTGCATTATATGATAAGTGTATATAGTGCAATCAATCTATCCTACAGATACATTTCCCACTGAACATAATGATACCAAAACAACCTTATTATAATTTTAACCATAAGTATATCTTGTCATTCAAAGATATTTTGTGTTTGTGATACTCATTAGATATTGAAGATAATTCAATTATCACAAAGCTTAAAAAATGTGTTTCATTTTGATTTAGGTCTCAAAATAATTTGAATGTTGACCTAATTTCCAGTTATACCTTAGGCCGTAGCTACCAATAACAAACATATTCTCTGAAAAAATGTTAAATTCACTTTTAAAGAGCAACAATTATTGAAAAATAATGATTTTACACCAATATTAATAAAATATATATCCATCTCTTTTACTTTAAATTAAATATACAGTTCCACTAAGCTGATATTCTTAATTGTAGTAAAACACAAACCGTATATATATGCATCGTCACGTTATTTAGATAGATAGAGCGATAAAGAGATAGATAGATAGATAGATATATAGATAAATAGATAGATAGATAGATAGATAGATAGATAGATAGATAGATAGATAGATAGATAGATAGATAGATAGATAGATAGATAGATAGATAGATAGATGGTTGAGATATAGAGAATTAATGGTCCGTAAATAACTCGCCTCTTCATAACTTTATTAATAGATGACTCTTCTAATATATGATATCATACCCTCCTCTACAGTCTACACACAGTTCTTTATATCTCTTCTAATATATGATATCATACCCTCCTCTTCAGCCTTAACTCAGTTCTTTATATCTCTTCTAATATATTATATGTCATACCCTCCTCTACAGCCTCCACCCAGTTCTTTATATCTCTTCTAATATATGATATAATACCCTCATCTACAGTCTACACACAGTTCTTTATATCTCTTCTAATATATGATATCATACCCTCCTCTTCAGTATACACACAGTTCTTTATATCTCTTCTAATATATGAACACACAGTTCTTTATATCTCTTCTAATATATAATATACTCTCCTCTATAGTCTACACACAGTTCTTTATATCAAAAATCATATGAAATATCTACTATATACGAATGCGTCGAAAAATAATCGATACTATTGAATAATACGAGTTGAATGTTGCAACTTTCTAAATTTGTATGGACGCTACGTTCTTCGGTATGCGTCGTTTTTAACAATTTTCTCCTTATAGACGCAACAGACAGACTTATTTTTCACCGTAAGTCTATACCCCCTTTCATTTTTCGCGAACTCTCCCTTTAAAGTTCGGATCTTAGTTAAAAATGATCGGCTACTAATACATGACCCTGTCCGCGTTTTGTTAATTTTCTTTAACGAAAGAATTTTTTTAAAATCGAAAGTACCCAGCCTTTCAGGTTTTTAACGTTTTTAGATCCAAACAGGTCAACAAATAAATAATCTAAGAACAGAAAGTGATTCTATATTATATTTTTTATATTTAATTTTAATTTTGTTGTTTACAATTCAACAAAAGGCTGAATCGATGATAAGGATCTGATCTGGTCGGTTCTGAATCTGATCAATTCTGATAAGAATAAAGATATATGATATTTACGAATATAAAAGATTTACTAATTAAAACAAATATTCAAAATGTTAAAACTGTTTAATTGTTTATTGAATGTTCGAATAAAGTACGGGGGGGGGGAAGGGGGGGGAAATAAAAACATTAAAAAGCAAAAGTTATATAAAAATAAGAACTATTGTATATTATTTCTTAGTTTATTTTGTTTTGTGCAAAAAAGGTAATGTTGGTTACTTAAGGAATTCTCTCAGGGTTTCAGAGAGGATATCAAATATAGAGAAGATAATACAAATTTCATTTCTCATAATTTTAGGGTTATTTCTATATGGCAAACGTCTGATAAAAATATCAACAGTTTTAGGATCAAATCTTAAAAATCATCATTTGAACATAAAAATTGAAATTCCATGAAAATTCAGATTTTTAACCCGGAATAGGGTTAAACCCCTAATATTTTTAGTTCAATACATATCCTATAGTGTATACTGTATACCGTATACTGCTGCATACTAACCGCAGTATATAAATCATCTCTTTCTCCCATCATAAACATTATTGTGTCAAGTCAAAACGACACAAGGGAAGGAGGGGTAGGGGGGGGGGGGGAATAAAAGAGTTGGAAGGACACAGGAGTTTAAAGAGCAAAATATTCAGAGCGGATTAAAAACGGCCCAAAAATTCTTCAGATATCATTCCTTTTGCAGTCAGGTTGCACCAAAAAAATGCTATTATTAATTAAAAATATTTACATATGAACTGAATCTGATCATTAATTGAACTGCATTGACATTAAACGGATCCTATAAACATTGGATAATGAAAAAAAAACGATAGACAAAAGTGTAACTTCATACATAAAAAGTCAAATATTTTGAGATTTGTACAACAATTTTATATAAAGATAAACAAAAAAAATATTTATTTTCGCAAAGTTAAATCAATAAATTGTTCATCCATTACATCGATTTCAGTTAAAAAAGAGATTTTTGAAAGTCCACATTGATCGCTGGGTAACCTTAACAAACGAAAAAATGGTTAGAAAGTGATTAAATTAAATTAAACTAAATTAAATTAAAACCCCAAAGTAAACATAAAAAATAACTAAAAACATTTACGATTCGATGAATTGTGCTTTTAAGAAATTGCCGATTCATTATTATATCCATAGTCTTGTTTATGTTTATGTTTACAATTAGTATATATTTAATCTAGTTCTATCTGTTATGTTAGCTTGTATATCATTATATTGTAAACATTACCATAATCATAATCATGATGTATAATCATTGATATATAACTTTACATCAATATTCAGCAGACAACTATATTTATATTAATAGTTTTATGATTAATCTAATGAGGCATAAAAATAAATATTAAAAGATTTTTATTTTGCTGTTTTTTTGGCAACAAAAGAATTTTCCAATAAAATGCCCATAATTGATACTGATACTTAAAAAAATCAAAAAATTTAATAAAGCAAAGTACCTTGCTGTAGCTACTTTACTTATAACAGACTGGTATCTTTCCTTTAAACTTCCAACGTTCTGACTGAAAATAAGATACAAGTTTAATTTTAATTCAGATGATTTTATGCAGAATAAAAAAAGGTTTTGATCGTAATAAAAAGATATCAGATGAGTGTACGTGAGATTATAATTATTTACAACTACTTTAGAGGGAACCAAGGGTTCCCATGACCAACTTTGTCTACAAAATGTTGGTCAAAAGGCAGTAAAATATTTGATTTTGTGCAATTAATCAACATAATACAAACCTTAGTCCCGACTTTTCCAGTTTACTACAATAATGAATACTTAAGAAAAAGAAAAACCTTATAAGAAATGAATATAAATGGATTGTGTGGGTGACATTTAAGCACCGAAACTGTGAAACAAAAGAGCAATTTGTTCAGCATAAATAGATTAAGATTTTGCAAATTATTTAATTAAAAAATAAAGCTAGAAATAACCACGTTATAGTTGTAAAATATACATATATTGTATACTGTAAAGAGCTATAACAAAAAATGTTGAAAAATTATATCTGACGCCAACTGCCAAGCTGGTTAATTTTTGCCGGTGTTCTTGCACTGCACTTTACAACCCTGTTTAGATTAAGTAATGAAAGAAGGTGAGGTTTCAGATAATGTTAATTTATCTACACTGGTTCTTCCTTCCTCTATATTTTGACGAGCACTGTAATTTCCCTGGCTCTGTCTCTAGCACAATGATTAAATTGAAGTTGGTATTTCCTTTAATTGGATTTCAAGGTTTGATATAATTAGTTGTAAAAAGTATTGATGTTTTCCTGATGGTTTGGTTTAAGGTTTCTAGTTCAGCTCGTAGGTTTGTCTGCTTTAGTCGGTCACATGCTTCCTAGGTAGTTTTAGAAATTCAATTAATATGAAAATGAAAGCCATTGTTAGAATGTAAAATGTTTTGAAATATAAAAAAACTATAGCTCCTCATATAAAGTTACTTAGACAAATAGACAAAGGTTATTTTATAAAGGTAAGCTCTGAATCTAACATGCCATACTGTATAATTCTTTATTATGTATACATTACAGCCCCTTTAAAATAAAAAAAAACAATGAAAAACAGTTTTTTTTTTAAATTTACATTTTTCAATCAGCATATATCTATGAATAATAGAATAAAAATGTATACAGTGGGACTCATAAAACTGTAGAATGGGAAGACAGTTGTCAGATTCAATTTATTATTTGAAATAGTCCAATAATGAACATGAACGATACAAATGTGCAGTGTACAGATACACTTACACAGACTTATTTTATTCGAAAGGTTGTTTTTCTGGTAAAACTATTTACTTAATAAAAGCATCAAATTTAAGGAAATAAATGTCGCCTCCCCTATTTACAGTTTTATTTGTTTCCCTGTAGTTAAACCTTCATTCTTGCCAGATCCTGGATTAGATGTTTATACTCTTCAGCTGGAAAACAAACGTTCAATTAACAAGAAAATAACATGGTAAACAAGAAAAATTAGAAACTCATTTCACATTTTATAGTGAAAATAAGTAAGAACAAGTTTTTCTTCTTCATCTTTATGATAGCTCTTATAGCTATATATATATATTTGACTATAAAGCACTAATCAGAACTGCTTCTGAGTTGTTATTTTCAATTAATACAAATTGTTTCAGATCTCTTGATCCTCATCAATAAATAAACATGGTTTAACATATATATATATACTAGAAATTCAAGGCGCTTCGCGCCCTTCTTTCTAGCCTGAGAGGGCGCGAAGCCATCTTCTAAATTAGTTGTGAACATTTTCTCTTTGTGTACATCGTAAAACAAAACAAAAATAATTCAGACCGAATTGGCTGAACTTTTTTATGAGGGAAACCTTGGGTACCCTAAGGGCAACATAGGCTAAAAATTGATTTTTTTTGTTCAAAAAACCTTAAATTGTATTGGATTTTAAAAAAAATTTGTAAAACATGTTGGAATACTAATATAATATTACAAAATCTGCTGATTCTAGAATGTGTTTGTCCCTGATATTTTGTTTTCATCTCCAAGTTTGGATTCTGGGGAAGAATTGATCTTATTTCTCTTCTTTTTTGCCTTCTTTTTCTCCTCTTTCTTTCCCTCTTCCAAGCTTAGGATCCTCTCTCCGTCTATATCCTCTCTAAAATTTCACATTTTCACAAAAAATATAAATTATTGGCAGAATTTAAACGCAAAAACCGAAAATGAATTAGCTCATTATTTTGTGGGACCTTGTATGGCCCTTGTCATACCAGAATGTCAGGGATTTGTACTGAGATTAATTCTGCCCTTTGATTGACTTTATTTACAATATTTCATTAAAAATACGACATTTAAAAAGTTATTTTCGCTGCATCCTCCTGGGTTGTCCTCTGACGGAGATTTACATTTACAAGAATAGGTGGGTGGAAAGCCGTAGACCGGAGTATAGCATACATTAATAATGGATATTACCAAATAGTGAAGTATTTATGAATAAGATAGTATTTCATGTGCTGAGGAACAAACCATTTATATATTAAAATCTTTTTAATAAAAAGTAAAATATAGAGCAGGGTTTTATACCAGAAGTTCAATTATAGATCTTTCTCAAAGAGTCAGCTATCGGAAAAGAAAATAAATGGTTCGGATAAACTAGTTAAATCTAATTCTATCCAGTTTAGTCCAGTCCAATACAGTTTAATCTAGTTCAATCTACTCTATCAAAGGCTGAAATTTTAGGCTGAGCCTCATCGAATGAAAATGACAGCCATGTAACTCATGTAAGTAATGTTAAAACTGGTTCACAATAGTATAATCTAAAATCCCCACTGTGATAGTGATCGATACAATTGAGTTTGATTTAGAATTTAGTTTATAATACTTTAAAAATATTTTATCCAAATAGCTATAGGCTTATTTGAAATAGATACATTTTTTATGCTAAAAGTTCAGAACAATCAGGCTTAATCTAACTTAATCAAGTTTAACTTAAGGGTCAAATCAATCTAATCTTATCTGCCATTAAAATATATCAATTTTCAGATAGAAAAACATAAATCTTTTTTAAAACTAAATATTTTTATTTTCCGTATAGTTTTACAAGTTAATATTGGATTACATATTATATATTGTATATCTCACAATGTTAATCAAAGGAAATTACATTAGCGTATTTAATGTGTGTAACAAAATTGTAACCAACTAAAGAATAAACTATTTTTTCTATAAAAATTGATAGTGTCCCATAGTTTGGACATCATACCAATTACGACATTCTTAAATAAACATAAATCACCCCCCCCCCCTTCCAGAAATTCGTAGATTCAAACCCCGCAGCCTGTTCAGGAAGTACTTATTTCTGACTTATTTAAAAAAGGAAGCAAAGATGTAAGGATTAGAAAACTGCAGTTTAAAATGAGTGACCGACTAGATATGGTGGTTGAACTGAGAGTGCAGTGTATTGTAGAGACATTTTTAGGATTTACTTGAATCCTGAACAATCTTTATTATACTGCACTCACAGCTCAGCTACCATGTCTACCCGCTAACTCCCTTTCAAGGGAATGAGCGGTAATGTAGGAATGCTTAGGATCAGGTTGAAAAAAATAGGAGCAACACTTTTCTATTTACCCTTTTTTTTAAAAAGTTTGTTTTATGTGAATCCTCAATTGAAAATCTTCATGTATGAAGAGGACAATTTTCTCCGCTCAATCCAAACTAATTGTTGCTGGGAAAAAGAAATTGAATGACCAAAATATATTTGAAATGAATATATTATATTTATTTTGATGATAAGAGTTAATTTTTATTTTCTCAACCTGTTCCTAAACAACTTATTATTTTACTGTAGAATTAGTTCATCGTTATTTAATAATTAAAAAAACAGATTCTCAAAATGTATTCACACAAAAAGATGATTTTGAAAGTCGACTTTGAGATCAAACTCAGTAAATGTACGTCGTAGAACAGTTTTATATGTCTCAAATGTGTCCACAATACTACATATTCAGTTCAACCACCATAAATTGCCGGTCACTCTCTTTAAGACTAGTGTTTAGTTGCTTTACCTGTCTGGTGTAAACTCTTTCATATATCTCTCCGGTATTGAGAAAGTAACTCTTTTCTTATCCAAGTCTAGATCTGTGATATTCTGAAACGAGAAAATATTCCGATTAGTTCCGGTCTTCGCACATTTAGTTCCGGTCTGCACACACTGGAACTTGAGATAAAAAGATATTCTCATGTTTTCGTAAACAAATATGTAAATATTAAATATGATTTATCTCATACAAATTAAAAAATCCCCCTTTCCTTACTTCATTAAAATAAATTTGATGATTAAGTTTTTGTTTAAATAATGTCAAGTTCCACACAAATATTCAACCAAACAGAATTACTCGTTTAGCTGATGAAAGAAAACTTAAGAAGTTGAGAGAGCGCAAAGTCATGCTAATAACCTCGTCTTAAAGGGAGTGTTCGCGAAAAATGAAAGGGGGCATAGGCTTAATGCGATAAAAAAGCGCTTTTGATCGCTACTAATCTTACTTTTATCTGTTGCGTCTATAAGGAGAAACTTGTTAAAGACGTCTCATACCGAATAACTTACCGTCCATACAAATTGAGAAAATTGCAACATACGACTTAGACCGTAAAAAATTAATTTAATTTCAAACAAATCATTCAGATATTACAACCTCTAGTCATCGATTATCTTTCGCCACATTTGTATATTATAGTTGATATTTTATAATATTTCTTAATTAATTTGTTTTGAATTTGATTATTTCTCTTGCGGCTTGCGCAACTATCTAAGAATGCCGCGGACCACTCACATTTTTCGAAATCAGTTAAAACGTTTTCTAAAAAAAATAAAATATTATAAAATATAAACTTTATACAAATGTGGCGAAAGATAATCGATGACTATAGGTTGTACTATCTGAATGATTTGTTTGAAATTAAATTATACCCCCTTTAATTTTTCGCGAACACTCCCTTTAAATAAACTTGTTCCTAATAGTAGTGTAAAATATATCCAATGCTTACCCTTGTTTTCAAAGTGGAATAATTTTCGTCAACTAGACGAATCTGAAATCGTTCACATCCTAATACTGGTTCCAGAAAGTCCTCGTCAAATCGTTTATATCTAATTTTAGTAGAAACAATACCGTCGATGTTTTGGTTCTCTTCCTCATTTGTAACTTTAACATATTTTTCAGAGTCTTCATTTTGAACAATATCCGGTAACAACTCTTTTAATATTTTATCATCTTTGTCGTCAGGAATAATATTCCTCTTAACATCTTGATCTGTAGCTGGGTCGGACGAGGTATGGTTTGAAGATATATCCTTTAGATTTAGTTTATACGGCGAGGAATTAATTTCTAGTTTCCTTCCAATTCTCTGGACTTTAGGCTCCACCAGATCTAAAACAAGGAGGAATGTATCGGTTTACAATTCAAACTATATTTCTACCAACACACAAGAGAATAAAAATCCGAATTGGAATCCATGGAAATCAACAAATTTCAAATTTGTTTTTTGAAAACACAGAGTTTTTGAGTTTGGCTTTGTCACGATCAGAAAATTTAAGTTTAAAAACTTTTGATTGAACTTTATTCTTTTATTAGAACCAAGGAATTGTCTTTGTCAACAAGTCTGATTTTCTAATCCATAATTCTAATCCATAATTCTAATCCATAATTCTAATCCATAATTCTAATCCATCTATGAAACCCAATGTCTAAGACCTATTTCAAACTATTAATTATGCTACACATAGTAACTGTGCTATACATAGTACTACAATATCTCGTGCTTTATATTTAAATAAAAATTTGAAAAAATATGAATTTGAATGTTGGATCAAGTAATCTAATTTTTAAATGTCAAAGATTCGTTTTTAATTCATAAAAAAGATTTGTAATTAGAGACGATTTTTATTAAGATTTCACTTTAAAGAATCAAATGCTATTATTTAAAATTACTTTTCATTTTATTCAATTTTGATATTTATAATTCATTTGTACATATTTTCCTTGTAAACTATCTCTCTGTAAACTATTATTACAACCATTACGTGCAAACTAATCCTTAAACCCGACTCTGTAATCTCAGATAAGAAGATTTACCTTATACAAGAGCAAAACCACATTCATTTATATCTATATGTTTCCATTCCCCATTACATGCATAGAAATCTTGTCTTTTTCTTCATTGAACAATCTTGTTATCAATTATTTGTCCCCTGCTTGAGGAGTATGAACCTGAAGGAGGAAAACTCCTTCTTCTCAAACACTTATATATATATATATATATATATATATAACATTTACCAGATAATCATAATATAAATGCTAAACATTTCAATTGACAAGAATATGGTGTTCCCTCTATTTTCAGTATATTTAAATACGAAGAGAAAACCACAGAAAAAAACTGATTTGGAGATTTAAGGCACATTTTTCTTATCTAAAATTTACTAAATTGAATGTTGAATAAGTTGAATGTTGCATCTTTTCTGAATTTGTATGGACACTACGTTCTTCGGTATTAGTCGTTTTTAACAATTTTCTCCTTATTGACGCAACAGATAGAAGTAATATTAGTAGCAATCAAAAGGACTTATTTTTCGCCGCAAGCCTATACCCCCTTTCATTTTTAGCGAACACTCCCTTTAAGATTTTCCAAAATTAATCAAATATTTAGATGCCTGCATTTAGATTATATGGCTTAAATTCCATAATTACAGTTTTGGAGAGCTATTTGACATAAAATGTTTGGCAGAATTATGCATACATTTACGACATAAATATATTAATAATACCAGACACCTCAGGAGGAAGGCTTATGTGTAATACAGAAGCGTAAAGTCTTATTCATAAACCAAAATCAAAAGTAGGAAATGACAGCTTTAAATTGTCTTCGTTCTATAACACTAACACACCATTTGTTAGTGAATCTATAGAATACTTTAAACTAAGTGATGATCAAATTGCTCTGAATGATGTTTGCTTAAAATGAAAAACATTTTTATCGTTTACCCGAAAAAACAGTTTTATTGTTTCAAAACGAAAAATAGATAAACAATCACTTCATGTTTTTATAAAATGATTTTTAAGAGTTTATCTCTCTTGAAAACATCAAAACTGTTGCACAAATAGATTTTTTATTACGTTTGATACCAAATGAAAGGAATTGAGCCTTTGCCACTGGCTAAACTTTTCTAATCCTTATATTTTAGCAACATAATAGGGTAAACCTTTGATATTTCCAATTTAGATTATTTGATTTAACAGAACTCATAGTTTGAAATATCTAAGGTCTACGGTATTGAGTTGCAAAAATAAAGGGATTAGAATATCAAAGTTTGTGGCAAAGACTCAATTCCTTTTCAAACAGGATCGGCCTACCAATATCTAGAACATCAGGCAGTGTACTTGTCTTCTCTGCTTGGATCCTGCAGGGTACAGTTCTCACACCAGGATTCATCATCTCATTCTTAATATGGAGAAACATTCTAATATTATTTTTGAATAAATCTTATACTTCCCATAAATAAATAAATAAACATAGATAGCTTATGTACAGAGCGTCCCATATCATATTAGATTATCTCCAATCTTTAACACCAAAATAAACCCTTAATACTCGAAAAACTTATCATTTTCCGCAAGAAAATTCTTAGATAAGCCTTATGTTATTTTTCAAAATGATTCATTCTAATGAAATTTTCTAATTAGTCGCGAAAATCGTAATTTAGACCCGTTCTCGGTCTAATATGATGTGGGACACCCTGTACAGTCCGCGAATTCATACTTCTAGGGGTCAAAGTGTACTTCAGTGACAAGCGGGGTGGTTTGGTGTTTTAATGGATTTCATAATAGAGTGTAAAATAACTCCGGGAATTGATCTATTTGAACAACAATATTTCACTGAGCAATATATCATATTGACGAGAACTGAAGAAGAACATGAGAAGGACTAAACTAACTTAAATTTCTCTCTACAGAACTCATGTACACCACAAGTACTCAATGACATAAGAACAGCCAATGTTCACAACCAACCTAGTTAATCTATATAATAAAAATATCTTTAAAACATCTCTGTACATTTATATCTTTCAAGATGAAAAATGTCGTCTTATGCGCAATCTATCTTTATCTATAATTCTTTCTGTTGATTGGGAAGAACGGTGTATGTGTCAGTATTAATTACCTTCCACTTTTTTTTTCAAGTGACATTCCATTTGTAGAATGACATGTATGATTCACAACCGTACCCTCAAAACCTTTTTTGAATGCAGTTTTATATATAAGAAATAATAATCTTTACTTTCCAGAAAATGTATGTTTACATTCGAATTTTTAAACCATGTTGGAGGAATTCATTTGTATATTTAACGTCCGAGTTCAAATAGTAGGCTGGCGTACACTCTAATTTGACGGCATTTTAAACACCGTTTCAGAGATAAACACACGGAGTTCTCTACCGTCGATGATTAGTCAAATGTTTAAAGGGTACCGTTGTAAATATGGCATACCCATTTTTGGATGCAGGGTCGCTTAAAATTACGCCTTCAGTCCCTTTCAGATCGGTCTTTGTGACGATACAGTTTACAAAATATCTATTAAATGTATTTTTTTCTCTAAAAAGGGTTTTTACATATTTCATGGCCATTTTGTTCATAAAATGTATGAAAAATATATTGTTATTGAAAGAACCATGTGCAACATATGAATTCTATATCTCATATATGTAAGATTTTCATATGTAACTAGCTAATTCAGTTTGTAGATTGTATATCTGTATAAACGTAAAGAATAGTAATCTCTGTCCAATCATAGCTCATGAACTGGTTTGCCTTAAACTTTTATGGGTGAAGCCAATAGCTTGGTTAAAAACTCTAAATTGAGTGGGTTGATTATTCTAGAGAACAAATAGTTCCAGACAAAGATGGGTTCCCAGTCTAGTTTATATATATATATATTTTGCTTAGATGGGTTTCCATTCTAGTTTATATATATATTTAGCTTAGATGGGTTCCCAGTCTAGTTTTTATATATATATATTTTGCTTAGATGGGTTCCCAATCTCGTTTATATATATATTTTGCTTAGATGGGTTCCCAGTCTAGTTTATATATATATTTTGCTTAGATGGTTTAAATAAATAAAATAAATGCATTTTATGCCTATAAGGGTTTGCCCGGAAAGGTTTCTATTTCAAACTTTATTAAATGTTTGGAAAACTTGATTTTGTTATTTATAGTTTCAATTGATGCATAATCAACGTCACGTGATGCATAATCTAAGTTATGTGATGCATAATCAAAGTCACGTGATGCATAATCAAAGTTAAGTTATTTAAACCTAATGTATGTCTTTTGAAAATCACAGATTTCGATAAAAAAAAATTATATAATTTTGGAATATATATAAGTGAACTACAACTAATTTATGTACTTATTTCTATTGAATATTACCCACAAGTCTGAGAACCGTTGCTATGCATATTGCATATTCTGAATTATCTGACCTGTTCAAGGCAATAAATATTCAATACTTGCAATTCATCGGTCCTTTGTGCATTCCTATACGTCTGCTAGATATTCTGCTTAAAATTGGATATCCTGCCTAGCAGAGGATATATTGTCTTCAAATTGATATCCTATTTAAAGTAGATATTCTGTTATATACATTATTCATTAAAAATTATGTTTATAAGTAGATATCCTGTTTAAAAGTAGTTATTATGTTTAAAAGAAGATATCCTGTTTAAATGTAGATATCCTGGTTAAAAGAAGACATCCTGTTTAAAAGTAGGTATTCTGTTTAAAAGTAGATATCCTCTTAAAAGTAGATATTCAGGATTCAGACTTATTTAACAGAGAGAGAGAGACAGATTCTAATTCCAAATGTAACCCATGGTTTTTTTTCAGACATATTTATACGTACTAATACAAATTAAATTATAAATGAAATATGGAAAAAGTGGGTTTCGAATTTTGTAAGAATGAAAAAAAATGAAAAAAAACACATCAAATTTAAACCTCGATATGTAAAAATTTTCTTGTGTGAACTTTTGAAAGTAATTACGCATCAGAATTCTAGCTGAATTCCGCGTAAATAGTTTATAGTTCTGCAGCTTTTCGTTTTAGCTTCTTTGTAAGTCTACTGTTCATAAGTCTACTGTTTCATAAGGAAACTTATATTTTAATCTATTTGCGCAAAGTTTTGCGGTGTAAATTTCATTTAACTTTTTGGAAATTGTGCAAAATTCATAAATTTTTGGACACGGCGCTGTTCCAAAAATGTGCAATGTTTTGTTGTTAACCTGATCACAATCCTGCAAATCATCATCAGACATAGCAACAGCTAAATATTCAGATCTGAAATAATAAATCGCTTAAAGCTTTAATTTATAATTCATAATTAAAAATTAGAAGTTGTATCTAATATAAAAATGTTTTGCAGTGAAACCAACTTTTTGAATTTTTGCTGGCTTTATAATAATTTGAAAAATGTAAATAACTCGTAATTTGTTTTGCATAGCATAAATATCCCCCCCTCCCCCTCAATATCTACCCCCCCCCCTTTAACTCGTTCATTAATAGTTGATTGATTTTGTTTCGTTCAGAAAACTGATAAATTTTTGAATTATGAAAAATTATTAAAAGTAAAAAATCAGAATATCTTTAAAAAAAATAAAAACAACGATGCCCCACTCTTGGCATAATCAAATAGTCTGCGGAACACTCTATATCTCCCTATCGTCCCTGTGCATACAATTCTATTCTGATTTATGTAGAATCAAAATCTTTATTACATTAGAGCTCCGATAAAAAGAATCATTTTATTTGATTTGATTTAATAATTTTCAGACATACTTGATTCTGTAGGGATAAAATGATTTCTATAAAGAGAATCGAATTTAAAGAAATGGTAATTGCAATGTCTAATCAAAATTTCAAAGTAACAATCTTACTAAAAAATGTACTCAGATATAAAGAAAACAAACCTAAAGAATGCCTGAGGTTTTGATTTGTAATGATTTGAGAAGTTCACAGAATACTGAATACTATTCCTTCATTACAATAGCTTAAATATTCTAATGCTAAGTATTTAAGCAAATAATATATACTCAATTTAATGCAAAAACATTGCAAAATGTGATATTCAATTTTGGACGTTGGATACCTTCTCAATCAAAAAGTTTATAGAGATAAATATTGAGTTTAGCTCTTATGCAGAACAAGAATTATGAGTTCAAATAGTTTTTAAATTAATAAAAACTAAAAATTAAAACGTGTCTGACTGTTGTTGAGCGCCGTGAATTCCGCAGAGAGTATTACATGGAAGATATAATGTGGTTACACTTGCATCAACTTTATCCAATTATCTTCTTATTCATCATAATAATAAACTTATTATATATATTTTATATATCATATATTACTATTAACTATATATGTTAAATATTATAAAGAACAATTATTCCACTGTGCAGTATATAATATTTTAATTGCAGTTCCTGACCGTCAGATTTATGCAGCAGAAACAATGAAGAAAATTACAGAATTTATCTCTTTTTAAGATAGAAAAACAAAGATATCTTTCCTATTGCAGTTCAAAAAAAGCTAAGGAAAGTTAAGGAAAAAGTGAGTGTAAATCGATTTTTTAAAGATACTATAAAAAGTAAGGAAACAAGTATACGCCATTAAAAAAGAATAAAAAGACCTTTCACCCATTTATTTTTTAAGTAGGGGATTATTTTTCAAGTTACTGATATTACAACAACGTAATAAATTTCCTTAAAATTTCGTGCTTGATGATTAAATTATAGAGAATGTTTTAGCATTGATATTAAATGTTTGTGCAAAACATGTGTGCAAAATATTTGTGCAAAATGATTGAAATGTGTTTTTTTTACAAAATTGCATTGCTGAAGGTTACCCTAGGAATATAATTAAAAAAATGGAATATTGTTCTAATACAGCTCCAGAAGTTTTGCTGAAGGTTACCCTAGGAATATGATTAAAAAATGGAATATTGTTCTAATACAGCTCCAGAAGGTTACCCTAGGAATATGATTAAAAAATGGAATATTGTTCTAATACAGCTCCAGAAAGTTACCCTAGAAATATAATTAAAAATGGAATATTGTTCTAATACAGCTCCAGAAGTTTTGTCCACAGAGACGTAGTTCTTTCAAAACTATTCCACTATCGATGCTGTCAGAAATCTCAAAATAAAATAAAAATATTTTAAAATAGAGTTTCAAGCTTTCCTAGTTTCTGTTTGAGGTATAAGATGGGTCCATTGTGCATCACAATCTGGAAAGAATATGTTTGATTATAATAAAATACTTAATTTTTGCAGAACTCTAACCTGCTTGATGAAATTTATTTATATTCTTGTCTCCTCTTCTCTTCTTGTACATGTACATGATTATTACTGCTGTACATAGGAGTAAGACGCAACCACCAACTACAAAAAATAAATAACTTTTTGATAAATTTTCTAAGGTTAACATTTATTTATTGTGTTCACCTGAGAGAATTATATAAATCTTCAATCTGAAAATAAATTAGATTTAAATATTGATTTACAAATTGTAATAATTTGAAAATCAACTTTAATGTATAGATTAATGGTAATGTCAAGATCAATGTTAATGCAAAGATCAATGTCAGCGTAAAGATAAATGTTAATGTAAAGATTAATGGAAATGTGAAGATCAATGTTATTGTAAAAATCAATGTTGATATGAAGATCAATGTCAATGTAAAGAGTAAAGATCAATGTTGAGTTGAAGATCAATGTTGATATAAAGATCCTTTAGAATATAAATATTAAAGTATGATGTAAATATTAAGAATGTTACAAAAATTTAGAATGAAATAAAGATCAAGAATTTGCTAAAGATCAAGAATGATAAAAAGATCAAGGATGTTGTAAAGCTTAATAATGATATAAAGATAAAAAAATGATGCTGTTCCATGATCAGATCAAACTGTAAAGATAAACAAAATGAACTACCTCATAATCTGATAGAACCGTTTAATATCAATAACTTTAACATTATATGCTGTTACTGCTGAGCCTCCAGTGTTTCTAGCTATACAGGTGTACCTGGATATAAGAAGAATAAAATCAGTACAAACATTAATCTTTATTAAATGGAATGAACCCATTTTAATATTATTTTTAGTTTTGGAACACTTTACATCTTTAGAAACGGCTAATACAATTTTGCCAAAGAATTTTCTCTAGTTAAGAAAATTATGCAGTATAGTACACCTTCTATAGTAAAAGAAATGCTGAAAATAAAGTGATTTGACATGTGGATATCATACATTTTATAATTTAAACCTGTCAACTTTAAATACAAAAATTCCCAGCTCAATTTTTTTTGTTTTTTTTTGAAGACTCTTTGCTTCGTTTAGGTTAAAAAGAATGTCAAAAAAGTACATACACTTTAAATCTCGCCCCTCTTTGACTAATAGGTGAATAGATTATTACAATCCTAGCCCCCCCCCCCCCCGAAATTGTTTTATTAAAATACTGATTTTTTTAAGACTAAAACTTCGAACGACAAAAAACTAAATTTGTTTTTCATTATGAAGTTAATTCCGCTGATTTAAATTTTTTACAGAAATTTAAAATGATGTATAAACATTATGTACTTGTATTAGATGGATTCATGTACCTGCCCGCCTGTCCTTCCGTAAGTTTGTACATATCCAATGTACTGCTCACTGTATTTCCGTTTGTTTCTAATAACATTTTAGAGTTTTCTTAAACAAGCAACCTTATTTCGAATTCATGGGATACGTAACTTCACTCTTACTAATGTTTTTAATCGCTAAATATTGGCAACCTTATTGTGTAAATTTATAATATTTAGAACTTTAACTATTTGATCTGACAGTTTTCATATTTTTGAAAATCAAAGGTCCATTAGAAACTTTAAGTTCAAGAAAAGAAATAAATTCTTTAATTAATAGAATTCTTTTCCTTCTGTTTTTATCCACCCCCCCCCCCTTCCCTCAAAAAAACTAATACGCTTTTAGCTTCAAAAGTACTAGTGTCTGCGTTTTCTATTCAAATGTTAAAATGAATAAATGAATCCTAATTTTATTCATTTGTTTTCTAAAGATAAGAACATTTTAATATTTTATAATAAGGACGTGAATGTTTTAACAAATCTCAATCTCAATCATACTGTTCAAAACAAGAATACTTTTCTTTATAATCTTTTCTTTTTGGATGCCCCCAAGAAAATACGGCTTTTAATACAAATTAGTATCTAAATATTAGCATTTGAAATAACATTGATTTCATCTAAAATGTTTCCTGTTGAAATCAAAATTCTCTCTCCGACTGTCACAGATCTAAAAAATCTTAATTATTCATGAATTCATGAATTACAAAATATCTAAAGAAAATAACTTTGTGTTTATATCATTTACAATTATCTGGACAAATTTAAGCAACGCATGTTTTGATAACATTTAAGAAATAAAAAACGTGTCATCTTTTTAAGGTTATTACGTATATAGGTGAAGGTATAGGTTGACCTGTACTCCTGCACCCAGGCTAGGTGTAGGGTCACCAGTATACAGGCAAAGGTATAGGTTGACCTGTACTCCTGTACCCAGGCTTTAGGGTCGCCAGTTTTTAGGTAAAGGTAAAGGCTGACCTGTACTCCTGCACCCAGGCTACGTGTAGGGTCGCCAGTATTTAGGTAAAGGTTTAGGCTGACCTGTACTCCTGTACCCAGGCTAGGTGTAGATGTAGAGTCACCAATATATAAGTAAAGGTAAAGTAAAGATTAACCTTTGCTCCTGTACCCAGGCTAAGGTGGGTGTAGGGTCACCAGTATAGCTGCAGGTCAGGCTTATATTCCCTCCTACAGTAGCTGGACTTGTGCTAAACAAGAAAATTATCACCTTAAGTTAACCTTTTATTTTAGGATATATTTAAATTAATATATGTACAGAGTAAAAAATAACAGAAAAAATCAGTTTTTCCTATTCTCGAGTTTAAATCTGGCTTAAAAGGATTTGAGTTTTTGCCACAAACTCTGATTTTCTAATTTCAATATCGTTGCAACCCAATGTCGCAGATCTTTAATATTTCAAACTATGAATGCTATTTGGTCAAATAATGTAAGTTTGAAATATTAAAGGTTTACATCTTAAGGTTGCAAAGATATAGGTTTTACAAAAACTGAATTTGTGGCATAGACTCAATTCCTTTGTTTACTATTTTTTGTATAAAAAATAAATATTTTAGCTTTCTTGAAGGAGTTAACTGGGTCGATTTTACGTGGAAAAAATAAATGGATTCAAACTTTTGAAATTGGGTTTGACTTAGAGATCATTGAAACCTTTGATTGGTATACTCTACAGAGATCATTGGAACCTTGAGATCTGTATAATCAACAGAGATCATAGAAACCTTGAGATCTGTATAATCTACAGAAATCATTGGAACTTAGAGATTGGTATAATTTACAGAGATCATTGGAACTTAGAGATTAGTTTATCTATACAGATCATTGGAACTTAGAGATTTGTTATAATCTACAGAGATCATTGGAACCCGGAGATTGGTTTGATCTACAGAGAATAGTGATCATTGGAACCCGGAGATTGGTTTGATCTACAGAGAATAGTGATTATTAGAACCCGGAGATTGGTTTGATCTACAGAGAATAGTGATCATTGGAACCCGGAGATTGGTTTGATCTACAGAGAATAGTGATCATTGGAACCCGGAGATTGGTTTGATCTAAAGAGAATAGTGATCATTGGAACCCGGAGATTGGTTTGATCTACAGAGAATAGTGATCATAGGAACCCGGAGATCAGTATAGTAGGATTGATCTTTTTTTGTTAAAACTTGTTCTCCCTAATCTTTGCTAATCTATTGAAGAGAACTGGGTTCTTGCTCCCCCATTTCCGATTTTCTAATCCTTATATCTTTGCAAACTAATGTCGCACTTTTATACTTCAAGTTATATGCAATGAACGCGACGTCGTGAAACCGACCAACATTCAGATTTTTATATTTATACATTGACAACCAAACAACAAGGGATATTCTACGCTTAATTGCAATGAAATATTACATTTACAATAAAATAATGCTTGCCTAATAATATTCTTCTCCAAATAGTTGACCGATATTAATGCTTTTATTTAATTTAATTTTTTTTTGAAATTTTCTTTTGTCCAAAATAGAAAATTCTTTTTCTGCGTTTAATAACATGAATCTGTCCCAATCCAACTTCATTATTGTTTGCTTCATTAACACTGTCAGTGAAATTTCAAGTGACCCTCTATGTTTAAAGGGGAATTTCCGATATACAACGATATCCTTGGAACCTTAATCTGAAGGGAAACATGATTTTTTGGCCTTGAAAGTGATTAATTTATAGTTATGCTTTATCTTTATATAGTATATACTGTGCTTGTCTGTTTATCTGTTCGTTTGTATCCAGAAAAACGTCTTAAGGCTGAACCGATCGGGCCCAAATTTTGTGTAACATCTCAACTAACCCCACGGAATGTTTATGGATGGTTAAAATTTCAAAAATGTGTCTCCTAAAAAATTAGATTTTCATTAAATTCTGACATCTACGATTTCTTTTTATAGAATTCTGAAAGCCCAGTTTCTTATAATTGCAGTATTTCTCTGCAAAACATACTCAAAAGCAAAAACATGAATATCTAATTTATATCTTAAGTAAACCGTTGTAAATCGGACATGCCAATTTATCAACAGAGGGTCACACTTGTAATTAGATTTACTGTCCCTTTAAGATGAAGAGAATCTAACCTCTGAGTTACGTTGATTTCAGATACAGGAGGACAGCTCAATTCTGAAATAAAAAGATAAAATGTAAGTATTCGGTATTTTTTCTTGGTCATTCATCAAAAGATTAAGTTTTAAATAAAGATTCATTTTTTAAAACTAGATTTTTGTACTTTTAAGCCTGATGGAAATGCAAAAAGTATTTATAATATATAAATATACGTCTATAAAAAATTTGGGTCGGATTGTTTCAATCGTTTTTTACTGCTTATTGGTAGAATAAACCAGCAAACAGGCATAAGAAAAAAGGGTAAACTAGTTACAGCTAAATCAAATATATCCATCTCTTGAGTCGCCAATCTTAATCGGGAGGGTTCAATTGGATATTGATATTTCAAAGGGCCGCCGGGTTCTTTTTACAGTTGTTTATCTTAATAACATTAGTTATATGTACTTTGTGAACTCAGATACTGCTCTTTGTATAAAAAAATCCCATCTGTTATACCTATGACATTTCTTTCACATTGCTTTGATCTTCGAAAATGGAAATCTTTTAAAAACAGAAACGTACTGACTGTTGTAAGGATTCAGATTTTATCTTCAGACATAAACACACACTTTCAGAACTATTTAAACATTTGCCATTTTCTTCCATCAAATTGAGGAAGCAAATTTTGATTAAGTAACTCGAATTAGCTCCACGGCCGAGAATTTTCTATCTCGGTTTATAAAATTTGTTTAGGTCTTTTAGGCAAATCTGGGTCCCTGCAGGATCTTATTATTTAAATTAATATTACTCTTATTCTTAAATATTCTGTTTTTAGATAGGCATTATGCAAGGACAAGGGCAAGAGGTATAATTTTAATTTTAAACAGGGTGAGTAAAAAAAGTGTGATTTGCGGCGCATGGTGCAAAATTTATACATTTGCCATTTTCTTCCATCAAATTGAGGAAGCATATGCTCTGAAACCTTTGTATGAGAATAACAAAGTTTTTGCAACACAGTTATATATATCAATCGCTGTATCTTTGAAACCTAATCCCGTAGATCTTTGACATTTCATACTTTAAATTCTGTTATTTTAAATTATCTAAGTTTGAAAAATCAAAGATTTACACTTTTAGGCTGTAAAGATATAAAATTAGAAAATTTGATTTTGTGTCAAAAACTTAGTAAGTTCCATTACTATCATAATAACGATCTTTAAATAAAACTGATTTTTTAACAAACTTGTTTCAAATAATAAATAACTTTTGAGGATTTTAAAGAACACATTTTCTAATTCATATTCTATATTTCATCTGTTTAGAAGTTTAGTTTAGTTTACTTTGAGTTTTCTAAAGAGTCAATTTAGATTGATAAAAGTAAACAGTATAGTTGAAGTTTGCAAAACAAAAATAACACAAATTTAATTCTTGCATTTTTTTACGTTTAACTTTTAAAAGCTTATTTATAGGATACCTTCTAAACCTAGGACGTCCCAGCTCTTATATCTGACGGATTCTGGACCTGAATATTTAAAAAATTTAAAATTATCGAAAAATAAAAATAGGCACTTTTTCAGAGTTTTTCGATTTTTTTTTGTATTACGGCTCTTTGCTTCTTAATTATAAAGAATAACCAAATAAAGTGGAATAACAAAATGAATAGAATACAGCATGAAAAAAGGGATTTTTAGATTTCAACGGATATCTTAGACTTTTTGATACAAAAAAAATAATTCGTAAAATGTCGCGTTTGAAAATCATTCCGTGAATTACGCCCCTGAAGGTCAAGGAAGCAAAAAGATTTCTGAAGCTTTCTTCTTTTATTCTCAAGCTGTCAATGAATTTTGCTCACTCATTAAATGATCGATTATATGTAAATAAATGCAAGATAAAAAATTGGTATGAAAGGAGTTGAGTCTTTGCAACAAACTCGAATTTTCTAATCCCTATATCTGTCCAACCTGATGACGAAAACCTTAGACATTTCAAACTTAGATTATTTGATCTAACAGAATTTATAGTTTGAAATACATAAGGTCTACGACATTGGATGGCAAAGATATTAGGATTAGAACATCGGAGTTTGTGGCAAAAACTCAATTTCTTTATCTGATTTTTTTTGTACTGATAAAAAATAGCACTGAAATCCACAGCACTGGAGAATGATAAGCTTGGAAGATGTCACTCCCTTTAAAGCAACTTCCTTTGCCTCCAGTAGTCTGGGATTTACAGTATCTAACAGTCTTATAAAACATCCTGCAAATAAACCGGAGAAAAGGATTCAATTATATTTACCTGTACATATTGGAGGGATATATTTACCTGTACATATTGGAGGGATATATTTACCTGTACATATTGGAGGGATATATTTACCTGTACATATTGGAGGGATAGAGAGAGGAATATTGTTCTCAAGAACCCACTAGAAAACAAAAATTATAATATGAGATTGAGATGGACCGATTTGCCTCAAGAACCCACTAGAATTATAATATGAGATTGAGATGGACCGATTTACTTCAAGAACCCAATATTACNTGGACCGATTTGCCTCAAATTTTGATTCCGTAACTCGAATTAGTTCCACGGCCGAGAATTTTCTATCTCGGTTTATAAAAATTGTTTAGGTCTTTTAGGCAAAACTGGGTCCTTGCAGGATCTTATTATTTAAATTAATATAACTCTTATTCTTAAATATTCTGTTTTTAGCATTATGCAAGGGCAAGGGCAAGGTATAATTTAATTTTTATATATTCAATGTGCCTTCCTTTATGATCAACTTTATACACAAATATGAATAAATGTTAAACTAAATATAACATGCGGAAATAATTTCTAATTTTTACATTCGTTCAACGTTTTTTTTGCAACTAATCTGTAACCTCATAAATGACATTTTACATTACAAAACATTTTAGAATGATTCTATTCAAAGCATGCTATTGTTTTTGTTTTTTGCATAATCTTATTTTTTTTACGTTTTTTTGTGCATAAATCAGAAATGATTATAATTCAAGAAACACCAGATTGCGTATTCATGTACTTTTGTTGTTATGCAAAGGGTATATAATTTGTTTTGTATTAATGTGCACACACACTGCCCAATCATTATTAATATGTTGAAAACAAAAATAATAATTTAGAGTAAAATAGGAATAAGGTTGGAAATACGTTTTTTTGGAAAATGTGATGCGCGGAATATTTTTTTTAACAAAAATAAAAATAAATATGACGTCAACGTCATAAACAGATTGTTTTGAATTTATTCACAAAAACAAGTTTTAAACTCTGTAAAGCCCTGATCTACACGTGTCACGTACTATACTGGATTATTCATCAACATTTTCGTTAATTATTGGGTTTTGAAGAGCATTGCATATTTAACTTTTTAAATAGAGAGTCCCTTTAAACTAGGTGGAATGTCCTGGTTTATAAACGATAAACAAATAAATATTAGTAAACATAACTGGTGGTGCAGTAGGGCTTGTTAGCATATTTCGATATTCAATATTCATAATATTGGACATTATGTGAGGGGGGGGGGGAAGATGCGGAAATAAAGTTTTTTAATGCATTCTCTTAACTACCTTTTATACAATTAAAATCTTCCTTTTTGCACGAGACATTGCGACTATTTATGTAAAAAACAATAATTGGGATAAAATAAAATCTTGTCTTGGTTTTATATAAGCGTTTTTACGCTGTTTAGGGGGGGGGGGTTCGTCGTTGAAACGTACATTTTACTCTAAAATTCAGTCTCAGTCGTCAAAATGTACTCTAAATGTAGTTAGTTCATTTCCAAAAGATTTTCGAACAAATTTTAAACCTTTTTTCTTCTTTTAGTTTTAAAATCCTCAATTCTATTCTGACGTATAAGCGTAAAAAAATTATATGTTTGAATAGGAGACCTAGCACATTTTTGAATATTAGGTCCACTTCTGAAGGTTAAACGGGTACTTTAGAGAAAAATGTTTAATCAATGAACCCCCATTTATGGGTATTGTGCTTACTAGAAGCACTTTTCAGAACACATCAAGATATTTAGTAGGCTAAAAAATCTAAAAACACTTTTTTAGAGACACCCTGTATATATATAAATATATAAAAATGTCAGCTATAGCTAGCCAAACGGTTGGACCAATTATTGGTTTATTTTTTAGGAAACCAATAGGTACTCTGGGGTAACACAGGCTAAAAAAAGTTCTTAATTTTTTAAATCGAAAAAATGTTGTTTAAATGATTTTTTAAAAATTATATTTTTTCATTCTACGGGCAACGCCGAGTACAATATATAGTATATCAACAGAACGTGTGAACTTTTTAAACCTAAAATGATAAAAAAGTATTAAAAGGAAAAATAAATTAAGATTACAAAAAGGTTAAACAGAATGTCACAAAAAAATGAAGTTTTTAAGTATTAAACTTCAGGGATTGTGGAGCTCCTTTGTTCCATAATGAATTCTAGCTTTGGTTAAAATCTTTCAAAGTTTGCGTTAAATCGTCAGAATTCCTCATGAGAAATTAATTATTCAAATCATTTTTTCATTAATTAAAATCTAATCTAAAGCTGGGAGACTGAAATGAAATTAATATAAAGCGGATATAAAAAAAGGGGTGGTATACGACAATTTTATTCGATAATGTCTTAGACCTTAAATATTTCAACTACGGATTACTCTGAATCAATTAGTCTATGTTCAAGGGATTATAAAACTAGAGTTATCACCTGTACAGTGGGTCTCAAGGAACAGTCACAGATCCAGGGATTCCGATCCAACTCAAGGGTCTATATTTATATATACATATATAAAGAGTTGTTATTAAATGGACAGAGCTGATAATTTACAGCGATAGTTGACTGAAAAAGTATTTACATTATAGTTTCTTTAGTCAATTCAAAAAAATAGTCTGTACTTTTAAGTATTAGGTTAAATTTAGTCTATATAATGGTAGATTGGTAGATAGGAAGGAATGAAGGAAGGAAGGAAGGAAGGCAGGAAGGGTAGAAGGATGAGAAACTAACTGAAAATGTTTATCTGAGATATATGTAGAGGGTATTTGAGCCAAATCAGTTCTTCCAAGTATAGGTATTGGGGGAAGGTTGGACAAGGAAGATACTTCTTAGGATCAAAGAATACAAGGGGGGGGGGGTACAGTTGATTTAAAAGCCAAAGATGGAGCATATTTTGAGAAAAAAGGGGGGTCTAAAAAGAGTCGCAAGATATTTTTTCAAAAACCTGAATTTTACCAGATAAAGGAATTCAATTTTTGCCACAAACTAAAATTTTCACATCTTTATAGCTATGCAACCTGAGGCCGAATTTAAAGAATTTGAGCGGCGGTTTAAATTTAAGCCGCGGTTTAGATATGGTTGGTTCCACTTAAAATTGTATCAAATGTTTCAAGATTTAAGCCGGCGCTAAATTTAAACCGGGTTTTGGCGGATTTTGGCGGATTTAAACCGCGGCTTAAATTCTTTAAATTCCATCTCTGAGAGGCCGAATTTAAAGAATTTGAGCGGCGGCTTAAATTTAAACTACGGCTCAAACATGGTTGGTTCCACTTAAAATTGTATTAATTTCTTCAAGATTTAAGCCGACACTCAATTAGAACCGGTTTTTGGGTGATTTGAGACGTGGCTTAAATTTATTAAATTCGGACACCGATGATTTAAACTTTAGTTTATGCAAACTATTTGATCTTTAAAAAATCACGGTTTGAGGTCTACGACAACAGGTTGAAAAGATATCAGGATTAAAAAATTAGAGATTTCTTTTTTACATTTTATTTACTACCTGAAGATGAAATAAAGGAAGCAGAACAACGGAAGACAAAGTTCTGAGCTTGTTTGAGCTAAATAATGTGTGTTTTAATACAGTTTTCCTAGCTTGAAAACAAATATAAACCAGAGTCTAAAACTAAAGAACGAAAAGTTTTGACTTAAATTTTAAGTTCATGGTTAAATGCCACTTCTGACTTAATTTAAACCTGAACTTTAACCATGAGGTTAAATATTTAACCCTGTGGTTAAATAGTTAACTCGCCGAAATCGACGAGTTAAAATTTAAACAGAGGTTTAAATTATCTTGAAATCCTGCATTTTCCCTATTTGTCTATTATTCAATCATCATTCAGCTGCAGCTGAGAAAGCGTCATTCAACTTTACGATATATTTAAAAGTGAAAACCTTGTTAAAGAAATTTCACGTTTTAGATAAATTAATTTTTGGATGTAAACCCAAAAAACGGTTGTATGTTTTGTTTTCGGTTACGTAAGAACAGCTGATTAGCGATGGTTATGTAATATTCTCCGTAAATCCTTTTCTCTGATTGGTTCAGATTTTTCCCGGGAAATTCCAATTTAAAATTGAGAAAGTTTAATATTTAAGTAGCTATTCATTATTTTACAGAACTTTTAACCACGAACTTAAAATTCGCGCATTCTTTAGTTTTAGACTCTTATCCATCATCTACAAATTTAAAACCAAAACAATATTATTAATAAAATGGTAAATAAAAACACTAACGATCTTAACTCAAACTAAATCATATTCTTTTTTTTCATATAAATTGTTAGGTTTTGTCTGAGGACTGAATTCATAGATTAAAACTTAAACATTGTATTCCAAAGTATTTACACGATAACTGTTTTAAAATCAACATTTTGAATTGATAAACAGATTAGAATTCCACGTTAAATCTGCGTTATCATTCACTTTATTTTTTCATTCTAGAATTATACTTGCTCAATTTAAGGTGAAACCTTATTCTAATCAGTTTTGTAAAAGAAAAAATCCTTTTTTTAGCTTACAAGATTTGATTCTGTTAATTTCTCCATTGTTTCTGAATCAAGAAATTAGCCAGATATAACCCTCAGAACAAAATAGTTTTTAAAAACAAAACCGTTGAACGATGTGAATCAGACATGCCACTCCATCAATGGAGGGTCATTGGAAATTACAATTATAATCCTTTTCTTGTCATATCTTATAGTTATACCTGAGAAGTAGTTTCTCAAGTCTGTGTAGGGGAGAGAAGGCTCTTAGAGAAATATAAGAGATACTGCATCCAGTCAAATCTAATCTAACCAACTCTCCTAAACTATATTGAAGATATTAGATCTAATCTAACCAACCCTCCTAAACTATATTAAAGATATTAGATCTAATCTAACCAACTCTCCTAAACTATATTGAAGATATTAGATCTAATCTAACCAACCCTCCTAAACTATATTGCAGATATTAGATCTAATCTAACCAACTCTCCTAAACTATATTGAAGATATTAGGTCTAATCAAACCAACTCTCCTAAACTATATTGCAGATATTAGATCTAATCTAACCTAAACTATATTGCAGATATTAGATCTAATCTAACCAACTCTCCTAAACTATATTGAAGATATTAGATCTAATCTAACCAACTCTCCTAAACTATGTTAAAGATATTAGGTCTAATATAACCAACTCTTCTAAACCATATTGCAGATATTAGGTCTAATCTAACCAACTCTCCTAAACTATATTAAAGATATTAGGTCTAATATAACCAACTCTCCTAAACTTTATTGAAGATATTAGATCTAATCTAACCAACTCTAAACTATGTAATTAGTGTAAATAAATCTATATTCGAATTACAATTATAAGATTACCTTTGAAACTCATAATCTTCTACTGATGATATTGGATTGTGAGCGATAAATAGTTCTCTGAAATAAATTTACTTCATTATATAGTAAAGATAGATGTTACCGCCATGCAATTTCTATTGGTTCAGAATAGACAACAAACACATGGCTGAACCCTGATTGGATCAGGCGCTAATGGAGTCGGCATACTAGAGTGGTTTGTGTCCTATGTCACAACGACTAAACTGATCCGGTAAAATATATTATGTGGGATATCATGTGACCTCTGTGAAGGTTTAGAAACGGGCAGAATTCAAGATAAAAGTTGCCCCATTAAGTTTAAATGTTTATAAAAACATATCTTTGCAACCCAATGTTGTATACCTGAGATATTTCAAAATATGAATTCTGTTTGATTCATATTTAGAAAATCAGAGTTTGTGACAAAGAATCGATTCTTTTGTAAAAATTTACGAACAAGTTTATCTACAGCAGTTTATGAAAAGAAAAGTTAATGGCCAGGAATATAACAGGAACTCCCATAAAATAAAGTTTATCTACAGTAGTTTATGGAAAAAATAGTTGATGGTCAGGAATATAACAGGAACTCCCATAAAATAAAGTTTATCTACAGTAGTTTATGGGAGGAATAGTTGATGGTCAGGAATATAACAGGAACTCCCATAAAATAAAGTTTATCTTCAGCAGTTTATGGAAAAAATAGTTGATGGCCAGGAATATAACAGGAACTTCCATAAAATAAAGTTTATCTACAGCAGTTTATGGGGGGAATGTTAACACAGGTAAGCTTGTTTACATTCTCCCAGAAACTGCATGCAGTACACGTTTTTCTTTGGAAGTTTTTATATTTTTTAGTTGTGGTAAAGTTTAATTTCGAAAGTGAAGAAATAGAAAGTTAGATAGAAGATATTAGAGAATAGATTGATAGAACAGAAAATAAAAATAGATAGAATAGAGAAAGCATAGATAGATAGAAGAAGGAAGAGAAAAGACTAAGTGTCCAGTATTGGATAAAAAGATAGATAGAATAGAGAAAGGATAGATAGATAGAAGATAGAAGAGAAAATACTAGGAGTAGGGGCCCTGTATTGGATATAAAGATAGATATAATAGAGAAAAAGAAAGATAGAAAAAAAGTAGAAGAGAGGAGACTAGGAGTTCAGTATCGGATTTATAGATGAATAGATAGAATAGAGAAAAGATAGATGGATAGAAGATAGAAGAGAAGAGACTAGGAGTCCAGTATTGGATATATAAATAGATAGATAAAATAGAGAAAATATAGATAGATAGAAGATAGAAGAGAAGAGACTAGGAGTCTAGTATTGAATATATATATATAGATAAATATAATAGAGAAAATATAGATAGATAGAAGATAAAAGAGAAGAGACTAAGAGTCCAGTATTAGATATATAGATAGATAGATACTATAGAGAAAAGATAGATGGATAGAATAGAGAAAAAGAGAGATAGATGGAAGATAGAAGAGAAGAGACTAGGAGTCGAGTATGATTAATGCTTGGTGTGAGTGTATCAAGGGTTATGCCAACTTGAGCACCAATAAAGAAATATTCCAGGAGGGGGGAGGGGGAGGAGGGAGCATGAAGATTGGGGAGGAATAAGAGGGGGTTTGAAGAAAGGGGGGGGAATAAGGATGATGGAATGGGAAGGAGTAGATTAGAGGAGTGAGAAGGTTTAAGGATAGATTATGTCCAAGAAAACCTGGAAGAAAAAATATAACAATATTGGAGGGAATTGTCTTGAAAGGAAAGGGAGTCTGTAAAGTCAGCTATGGTAAGAAAAGGGAGTGAACATCTTTAAAGGGTTTGGAGGTCTTTAGAGGGATTGGATTGTTTTTATAAGATTGGGGGGATCTGAAACGGGATTTTGGGTTTTAAAGGATTTGGGGAAATTCAATGGGACTAAAGACGTATGGGTCTTTAAATGGATTAAAAGGAATTGGATGCATTTGAAGGGACCGTATATAATATGTTGTGGAATGAAATAGAATTGTTTGTGATTTTTACGACAATGTCTACTCTCCAACCCTAATACAAGATGTCATCTGAAAAGATTAACATGTCAACATTTGATAAATGTTCTGAGTATCAGATAATATAAATATAATTGTTGCTTCTCAATCCACTTTAGTTCTTTTAGTTACATTAGCTAATACATATTTGCTGATGCTTTTCACCAACTAATGGGACAGGGTTCTTCAGAGTGCTGCGGTGCCTTCTTTCTTAATATTAACATTTTTTTGTAGCCCTGAATTTAAAGGTTTCACAGGTAAAAAGCATGTTTTTCGAGCTGTGGACTGAAAGAAATAAGATGCAAAATTGTAATAAATTTTCTCGCCAGAATGAAAATTAAAAAGTTACGTTCATTTGTACGTCAACTTGCATAGAGTTAACCATCTTCAAAAAAATTTCCAAAAGCACGAAATCATGTTCAAATATTAATTTTTGGTGTTTAATAAATCGTTTAAGTGCTCGGGTGCATTCATGGTATTGGTTATATAAATAAAAATATAAATATATATACTGAGAAAAAATGTCTGATGCACAGTGGTGATATTGCTACAATGCATCAGTTATATGCTTCGCAGTGTTGAAATTATTTTTGATGATTTCCACTTTTCTTAACAAATGTAAAACAGTATATTTGGTTAAAAGAGTGCGGACAAGATTCATTTATCCATATTTGAATATTTTTTACATTTTTATTTTAAAATCAAGTTTCATCAAGTTCTCAAACTTTTCCTAAGTTTTTCTTTCCATGGGTGGATTCCTGCACACGACTAATAGATATGCATTAAAGAGTAAGAAGGGGGGGGTAGGGTGGATATAGGGAATCTAGGATAGAGATGGTAGGGTTTAGGTGGATATAGGGAATCTAGGATAGAGATGGTAGGGTTTAGGTGGACATATCGGATCTAGGATAGAGATGGTAGGGCTTAGGTGGATATGTTACATTAGGGTAGAGATGGTTTAGGGTTTAGGAGGATATATGGGATCTAGGGTATAGATGATAGGGTTCAGGTGGATATATAGGATCTAGGGTATAAATGGTGTTCAGGTGGATATATAGGATCTAGGGTATAGATAGGGTTCATGTGGATATATGGGATATAGGGTATATAGATGGTAGGGTTCAGGTGGATATATAGGATCTAGGGTATAGATGGTAGGGTTCAGGTGGATATATAGGATCTAGGGTATAAATGGTGTTCAGGTGGATATATAGGATCTAGGGTATAAATAGGGTTCAAGTGGATATATGGGATATAGGGTATATAGATGGTATGGTTCAGGTGGATATATGGGATCTAGGGTATAGATGGTAGGGTTCAGGTGGATATATAGGATCTAGGGTATAAATAGTAAAGTTCAGGTGGATATATAGGATATAGGGTATATATAGGGTTCAAGTGGAAATATAGGATATAGGGTATATAGATGGTAGGGTTCAGGCGGATATATTGGATCTAGGATAGAGATGGTGGGGCTAATATGGATATTTAAGATCTAGGATAGAGATGGTGGGGCTAATATGGATATTTAAGGTCTAGGATAGGGGTGGTGGGGTTAATATTGATATTTAAGATCTAGGATAGAGATGGTGGGGGTAAATATGGATGTTTAAGATCTAGGATTGGGATGGTGGGGTTAATATTGATATTTAAGATCTAGGATAGAGATGACCCAGACAGAAGGGGTTAGATAGAAGATGAATCAATATTAGGTAAGATATGTAAGTATTATTGTATTGGGTTATTGTATGGTAATTTGAAATGTAATTATATATGTGTTTTCGTATATTGTTTATTGTTTACCAGGATTATAACGAATGTTCCGGTTTCTCCTTGAAAATCTATATAAATATTATATGTATTTGCTAGCATGCAGTAGCTGGTCAAACGACCATAAAAACTTTGAAATTCATATAATAAGTATATTCCAGTAGTACCTGAGTTGAGGGGTATATATAAAGGCTGGGCTAGGAATCCAACCTATCAGATTATAACTTAAGTCCAATCGAACAAGATTACTCAAACCACGGAGAGAAAATCTAAAAAAAATAATTTGTTAAAGTATTTAAAGTTTTTTTTTCCATTTTTAAATATTAATGTGGCCTTTTATTTAGGTCGGATGATTAGATAGACGTCTCCTGATTCAGCCCAGGAATAAGTCTAGGATCATCAGATTGTATCAGAGGATTCGAACTGGTTTACAGATACCGGCATGGATCGGATTTGAGTCGGAGAGAATTTATTGAATCAAATATATTATTTTTGGTTATAAGCTCTCTTTTGTGCTCAGTGAAAATATGGTTAAAGATTGAAGTTGGTTTGATCCTATCTGAGATTCATGTACAGGAGTGATTTAGGGTAAAGGGTGACTTTTTTGATCTAGTTTATATGATGGGATTTCATTGAAGATAGTGTTTTGTATTGTTTTGTTCAGCTTTTATGAATATGATTATGAAGATTTTAGTATTTTTTAGTTAGTTCGTTGTGAAACGATTATTTTCATATTTTGATATTTTGACGGTCTTTTACTGATTCCTTTTATTCTTGTAGTATAAAAGATGAAAAGATCTTCAACTGCTTGAAAACCAAGGAATTCTGATCTATTCACGCCAGTCTCAACCATGGATCGTAGGTAGGATGATTTTCACGATACATAATTAGTCTCAACCATGGATCGTAGGTAGGATGATTTTCACGATACATAATTAGTCTCAAGCATGGACCGTAGGTAGGATGATTTTATTTTTTAGATTAGGGATTTGTCTCGTCAATATACATGATTAGTCTAAAGACGTAAACGATTATAATTCAATTAAACCTGAATTTGATTTAAACTTGGAACATGATGAAACTAAGAATAAAATTTAATTGTTCAATTTTCAATTTTTGACACAAGCTCATGGGTTTAACTGTTATCAACGTGGCATAAATTTCCATATCTCACTAATGCATATAGAAATAGACTCTTTGCCACAAACTATGATTTTCTAATTCCTGTATCTTTTCAACCCAGTATAGTAAAACTTAGATATTTCAAACCATTTCATTTTTTCTTGTGAAAATCATTAAGATATTAAAGATTCCAATTTTTATTTGCTTTATGTTAATAGTGTAATTGTAAAAAAAAATGTTATTATGTGTGATACATAAACCATCGTAAGCTGAATCAATCTTATTTAAAGTTTTCCTAATTCTAGAATGAAAACTATGTAAAAGTTTCCTAATTCTAGAATGAAAACTATGTAAAAGTTTTCCTAATTCTAGAATGAAAACTATGTAAAAGTTTCCTAATTCTAGAATGAAAACTATGTAAAAGTTTTCCTAATTCTAGCATGAAAACTATGTAAAAGTTTTCCTAATTCTAGCATGAAAACTATGTAAAAGTTTTCCTAATTCTAGCATGAAAACTATGTAAAAGTTTCCTAATTCTAGAATGAAAACTATGTAAAAATTTAACCCCGTGGTTTGTTTACATTAATCCTTGCAGTCTTCACTGCAGGAATTCTATTGTATAGTTTAATATATCTGCTGCAGTTCAATCTAGGACTAGCAAACCTTTCGTCAAACGGTAGTTTTTGAACTCTAGCGGTATATTCCGTTAACAAACGAACCCCAATTGATTTTTCAGTTCATCAACGAACGAAAATTCTGTTAATGGAAACAAACGAAAGTAACATTAAAAACAAACTGATATCATAAATGTTTAAGAATGTGGTCGTCTGTTTTTTTTAGCCTAGTATCTAACCTAAAATAATATAGAAGCATTTATTTTTGAATTTAAACCAATTAAAACCTTTCCGAGATCAGATTCATTACTCTTGCTGAGTCCCGTTAATGAACTAAAACCTCGTTGACAGAGACGGCAGGAAAAAAAAGTCCAAATCGTTAACTAGAAAAAAACTTGATAAACGAACTGGGAAAACCGTTCACGAACTGAAAGTTCAGCTATCAGTTGTGGCCGTCCGTTCCGCTAATCTAAAGATTTGAAAAAGTCTGGACATATCCAGCCATAAAACTTGAATCTACAATATTTAATGAAGATTTTATATCAAAGAATTGTGTAGGCATACAATCTACAGGCTGCTCTCGTCCACTGCAGATAAGAGAGAGTGTTATCTTTGTGCTCTAGATTTTTTGATATGGTAAAATAAAGCTGCAAAAATACCGAGTTTTTGCCACAAACTAAAATTTTCTAATCTCTATATCTTTCATACATGATAGTGAAATCTTTGACATTTTAAATTTTGCTCTAACAAAATTTGCAGTTTGAAAAATCAAAGGTCTACTTCTATGGGTTAAAAAGATATAACGATTTGAAAATTTTAACTTTGTCGCAAAAACTCATTTCCTTTTCAAAGATATAATTTTTTGATAAATTGAATTTATCAAGCTGTAATGTTAAAACAGTGTATTGATCATAATTTATAATGATTTCAAACTGCATCCCATTTTTTTCCAGAATATTCTGGGGACCACTGGACGAAACAGTATTTAGATATGAAAGTTCTAGTAATAATTTTCAAATCATTTAAGGTTTCTGAATTACTGTTCGGCAATTGTTTACGCTTTGGTGGTTTACAGATGATGTTCTATTATGAAAAATGCTCTGGTAAATTCACAAGTCTAAATCAGTCAACAAAAATTTAAAAAAAATGATTTCTTGGGCCTGAGATTAATTTTGGTTTTAAATAGAGATTAACTTTTTTTAAGAAACCATTCTTTTTATCTTATGCAAATAAAACTTTTAGATGCTTCTCTCTCATTCATAAACTTTTTTCTGCTTTTTCACTTCCTCTCTCTTTTATAAACTTTTTCATCCTCACAAACTTGTTTCTAGGTTCTAGTCTAGACTTGCTATACGCTCCTTTTCATAATCATCCACAGTTCTGTCATTTCTTGATTAAGGTGAGGAAGGAAGGATTGGTTCATTGTGATTCTTTCCGATCCTATAACGCACGCCTCAGCTAAACTGTAGAATTTGTACAGTACACTGTACAATACTAACTGTCACTATAGGTCGGACATGTACATGTACAAGAAGTGGGTATGGTACCTGTAAATAGTAATGACGTACTAACCTTTATATGTACAAGGTTCTAAAAATACTGCTAACCTTTATATGTACAAGGTTCTAAAAAAATCGAAGTGAGAGAATAAAAAATGCCACCCTCCAAAACTTCAAAAAAAAAACCACGTACGAAAAACACAAAATGGTATTTGAAATGATAGATAGATAACATATGTTAAGTTTATTTATTTTATAAAAAAAAGTATGCTGACTATTGTTAAACAAATATCTCATTTTGTTTGTCTGTTAGTTGGTATTTTTGATGTAAATACTACATAATGACCCGGACAAAAAACGTAACAAACAGCTTTCTATAAATTATTTTGTTGTTTTTATTTTTTCTTTAATACCATGTGTACTTTCAGTTTAACTACCATAACGAGTCAGCCACTCCCTTTAAGACTAAAATCAGCTCCGCAGAACTTGGAAGTGAGCAAATTTTTTCTTTTTTATCTGTATTCATTCTTTTCTCTGCACCTCTATCCCCGGATTCCTTTTCTGTCATGTTTTTCAATCCATGCGTGTATACTGTATGGTAGAAAAGCCATGTTAATTTAATTCCACGCAGAGAGAAAAGTTAACTAATTAATTTAAACATACTTTGCAAAGATAAATAAAGATAAATAGTCTCCCCTTCTTACTTTGGAAGGTATTTTTCTATCAAAATAATGTTCTGCTTTACATATAATGAAACTTTTCTTATAAAGAAACTAATTAGTAATTACAAACAGCAAATTCTAATTTTCTAAACTGAACTTAATATCCATGTAGTCTTTTGTCATCGTAGACCTTTGATGTTTCAAACTAAAAATTCTGCTAGATCGAATAGATAAAAGGTTTACACCACCAGGTTGCAGAGATATATGAATCAGAAAAAAATATATGAAATGTGTATTTGTGTGTTTTTTTTATTGAGAGGTTTAATGTTTATATAAAAGGGTTACCCACAATGAATTATATGTTATAATTGAATCATAAATCTTTTAATATCTGAAAAACTGAATGTTGAAGAAGGTTTTATTCCAATAAGACAGTTTTATAAGAATACACTTTGTGGTTTCAGAAAGAAAATTATGAGATGATGACAGTTGCAGTAAATCCTAAATGTAATAAAAAGTCTTGAACATTTTTCAGACACTATTCTTTCAAGTCTTAAATTCATCCTTTTATAAATAAATAATTACTTACTTACTTACGTACCTTTCATTTTTTCAATCTTTCATGATTTTATTATTGCGGATTATAATGATGAAGCGGTGTTTTTTTAGATTGCACAATTTTAATATACAGAGTGTCCCACGAAACATGACAATTGATGAATACTTTAAAATGTCTTATTCCATAATTCATTCAGTTTTTTGATACCAAAAAGAATAATCAAAAATAAAACATTAAAGTTCAAAGTAAAATATATTTGAGTACAAAATAACATTCATTCAAAACTATTTACCATCCTGTCATAATTCGTTGGGCACCTTGTATATTTTTCTCTTAAAATAGAACACTTAAAACGAATCGTATTGAAAAAATAATCGGGATTGAATTTCGACTAATGATCTGTTTTAAAGCTGTAAAATTGGTGAGTAAGAGAAAAGATATATTTAAATATTATTTTGTAGTTTATTGCTGGAGACGCTACACAAGAGCATGCTTTTAGCTTAATCAAACAGCAAATAAACTTAACAAAATTTATAAATAGCTTAGGTTACTAGAAAGAAGCACTATCAAGGGACTTACAGTGTACAGTGTACATGTAGTTTAAACTGGTTCTCCATTGATAGAGTGACATGTCCGATTTACAACGGCAACCTTGAAAGTTTTGTCTGATAAAATGTTAATTAAATATTCACGTTATTGTTATCAGAATCAAAATCTTTGCAAGCTAAAAAACGACGTGTCTTTAACATTTTGACGAGATGAAAGTTTCAAGGGTACCGTTGTAAATCAGACTTTCCCCTCTTTATTTAAATTGAATATCAATTGAAATCAAAACAGTCCCTTTCAGCAATATTTAAAAAGGTGCAATATACTGGTTTAAAATTAACATTTTGTTTGATAACAGTCACGCACACCTGACCCTTTAGTAAAAGTAAATTCAAACTAAAGTCTGACTGCGTCAACCTTGTTGCACCGGCTAGTCCTATCGAGTGCCTGCTTTATTTACACAACGTCCAGGCGATACAGTACAAGCTGGGACCGGAAAGGTTGACCCGGCTCAGAAATTCAAATGTACTACGGCTGCCCGTACAGTATGGTTTAATCTCAACAACCTCTTTTTGCTTAGGTGATCTTATTAAGTTATTTTACTATTATACGGTCCAAGCAGATTTTTAAACATGTTACTAGAAATGGATTTGTAATTAATAACTGGGTTTGTTTCTAGAAACTTTTAAGGTTTTTGGATCTTTAAATGGATACACAAAAATCTAATAAGTTTGAGAAATCCCAAAACTGTTTATTTGCATTCCTTACTCTGAGTTGAGATATATGCAAATTACCAAAAATAATCGTATTTTTTTCATGTTTCCACAAAATTGATAAGTTCTTGCTCATTCTCATTATGAGTGAGTTAAAATTACAAGAGAAGAAAGAAGGGTCAATCATGATAGAGTTAGAATTGAGGATAAGTTTTCAAATGAAAGGATCAACATATTTGACATTTAAATTCGTTTGAATATTCCCACGATATTTTCATTAAAAAAAAATAAAATAGAAAAAGAAAAGAACTGACCCNTAGACTCTTCATATTTGTAACTCTGAATTCTGCTTGATCAATTACTCTAAGTTAAAAAAATAAAGGTTTAAACAACCAGGATAAAAAAGATACAGGGATTAAACAGACCGAAATATATTTTCAATAAATGTGGAACTAACATCAACTTTTTTTACTCTACAGAGGTTTTGTCTGTATCCACGTAAAACTAACAACAACGAATTTTACATCCTGTCTGTATCCACGTAAAACTAACAACAACGAATTTTACATCCTGTCTGTATCCACGTAAAACAAACAACAACGAATTTTACATCCTGTCTGTATCCACGTAAAACTAACAACAACGAAGTTCATTCTGTCTGTATCCACGTAATTAGATCTCTAATCAAAATTTGGTAAAAACGTTTTATACTTTATACTTCAAATATATTGGCAAACAAAAAAGCATTGAATAGCAACACAAAATCTTAATATGACTGACTCACCTATCTATTGTTTCCAGGTGAGAATGAGACAGAAACAGTTCCTGAAAAAAGGAATCAAGAGGAATATATAATAGATAATTACAGATTGATTATTAGTAGTCTAGTTTAATCTATTCTGAAAAAGAAAAAATAACAGTATAATAAAACAATTTTTTCTAATACTTTATTTATACAAAAAACTATTAACGCAGACTTGTAAATCAATGGGTAGACCAGTTTAAATTGATTTTGTTGTTTATGTATTTTTTGCACCTTTTTATAATTATATTGCAAGGTTTGCCATGAATATTTGTATGTTTGTTGTACCTGTATTTAATTAAATTGCAAGGCTTGACGTTAATGCTTTTATGTTTTATGTATATTGCAAGGTTTTCGTGCATGTTTGTATGTTTGTTGTACCAGTATATATTACAAGGTTTGCCGAGAATGTTTGTATGTTTGTTGCACCTGGATATATAGCGAGGTTTGCCGAGAATGTTTGCATGTTTGTTGTACTTGTATATATTGCGGGGTTTGTTGTGAATGTTTGTATATTTGTTGTACCAGTATATATTGCAGGATTTGCAAAGAATGTTTCCATGTTATTGTTTATTGTACTTTGACATACATATTGCAAGGTTAGTTTGGGTGTCTGTTTGTTTTCTGTACCTGGACATATTGCACGATTTGTCTGTTTGTTTGTGTACCTGAAGATTATTCAACCCTGCAGAGAGAAATAAATCCTCCTGAAGACTGGGAAGATGATTACCGGAGAAATTTAAAACCTAAACATTAGACTCAGGAGATACGTTTAGATGAACATTGTAGTGTGCACAGTACAGTGTTGCCAAAGTTTAATCAGGAGATACAGGTAGAGTTTAGAACCTAAATATCAGGATCAGGAGATACAGGTAGAGTTTAGAATCTAAAAATCAGGATCAGGAGATACATAGGGAGTTTAGAACCTAAATATCAGGATCAGGAGATACAGAGAGAGTTTAGAACCTAAATATCAGGATCAGGAGATACAGAGAGAGTTTAGAGCCTAAATATCAGGATCAGGAGATACAGGTAGAGTTTAGAGCCTAAATATCAGGATCAGGAGATACAGGTAGAGTTTAGAACCTAAACATTAGGATCAGGAGATACAGAGAGAGTTTAGAACCTAAATATCAGGATCAGGAGATACATGGAGATTTGAAACTCTAATTTTAATCATTTTTTTGTATCGTTTCTGTTGAAATAAAAGATTTCATTTCTAAAAGTTTTAACTGCCAAAAACAGTATTTCTACATATTTCTGCATTTTTAATCATATTGGTAATACAAAATACAACTGAATCGAAAGAAATCATCCTTTCTACTTTATTGTACAGCCATGTACGTCCAGTCTTCGGTACATAATTGAGCCCAATATTCGAATTAATTGAGTCCAATATTCGAATCTCCCTCAGAAATTCATATTCATATATCATATCCAAAAAATATAAATCCCTGACCTTGTTTATTGTATTGTGGCTTAATGTTGAAAACTCTTTTAATAAGCCATCTGGCAAAATGAAGGATATATGTATTGGTATAGACAAAATGTCTTGTTACATGTTTAAACCTGTCTAGTATCTGGAAGACTGGGAATAATGTTTAGTAAAGTGTTACTACATGTTATATCTTGTTACATGTTTAAACCTGTGTAGTATCTGGAATACTGGGAATACTGTTCAGTAAAGTGTTACTACATGTTATATCTTGTTACATGTTTAAACCTGTGTAGTATCTGGAATACTGGGAATACTGTTCAGTAAAGTGTTACTACATGTTATATCTTGTTACATGTTTAAACCTGTGTAGTATCTGGAATACTGGGAATACTGTTCAGTAAA